AATCAGAACACAGATGATGGTTGTAGTCGAGATGTATTTGTTGGCGATCTCGTGGTATCGAAAGAATACCGAGATCGTGCCAAAGGAGTACAAGCGTGGTTACTGAGCGTAACCGAATTCGTACAAGTTCAAAGTCAACAGGAGAGTAAGTAAGTATATTGGCTGTCATTAGCACAGTTAAACAAACGAGCACAGTAAAACAGTCACTGGTACAATTGGTTATAATAATAATTGTTTTCATCGAACCAATCGCGTTCTGTTGACAAAAGTAGGTCACTACACTATCAAAAGCTTAAGACCGTTAAAAATACACGAAAAAGCACACTAAAAACAGGAAAAATGTATAAAACGGACGAGATAAAATGAACTAGCCTATACGTGAAAAATTAAGAAATAAAACCGAATAGTAAGCTGAGGCAAAACCACAGTTAACTATTAAATTGGGCGAAACTAAAAAAACAGTAATCTACCGAACTTATAGCTCAGGATAGATTCTTTAGATCAGAAATGGTACTTTTGTTGCGTAAGAACACAGCAAAAGTTTGAGAAATGCAAACCACGTTAGGACTAAACTTACATACAGTGAAAGATTGACAAAATAAATACAAATAATAATTAAAACTATTTACAAAATAAGTTTGACAGACCTTTCTCCACAGGCTTTAAATCTATTGAAAATGTACATACGATTTGTGTGCTGAGGCAGTGTAACGTATGATTTCTAAACTGTCTAATGATGCAACAGACAAAAAGTAGGGTAATGATTTCCAGAAATGTTTGACCGAGTGTCAGTGAAACCAGCATCTTTAGGATCGTTGATGAACGACTATAGAGTTGATTAATTTTGAGTAACGATTTATGGCTACCAAAGTCACACTTGGAACTCGACAAAAATGCCTAGCAGAGGACATTCATCCAGCTACCAAGCCTTATATGCATTTATCAAGCCAATTATCAATGAAGTGTTAATTACAACTGGTATTTCGCTGTATTACACACGGTAAAGATGATAGGAATTACCATGTAGTTATTCAACATAAATTCTGAAATCCTCATCTTATACCCAAACAGGTGTTAAAATTTACATTTCAAGCAATCCTTTAATGTAACCATATAAATTATTTTTGATTTTATTTATTTGAATTGAACATACACTTTGTTTGTCCTCTTCATGAATTGTGGCGATACGAATTGCGTATATGCCATCGAGCTCTAAAAAGATTTTGCTTCTATTCCCCTTCAAAGCTGGTTTGTTTTTCTTAAAAGTTTCTTTATTAATCTCGTTTGTCCGCTTAACTAATTTAGGATTTGCTAAAGCGATGAATGTGACAATTTCACTTTGTTATTTTCTTAATTAATTTTTCAAGAGTTCATAAGAATAAGTAAATAAACTCATGTTCTTCCGTATCTGCGACTGTCCCTAGACATCAAAAATTGTTTATGTAACTAGAACACTTTATTTGATATTTCAAGAAGTCATTGTTCATTAATTCAGTTACTTCTTCAAATATCAAAATTTTATCCCTCAAAAATAGTGCTTATTAGATATTGTCAATGTCGTATAACCAGTTTTCATGTTCATAGGGGATTATAACTGCATCCACGAAAATGTTCACTCGAAATTCTGAGGTTTTTACGGTGTTTGAAGGTATATAGTTATTACATTTTATATAAAATGTAATAAATAGCTAATCCATCTTTTAAAAGTAGCGCCTTGCTTACTGAACGTAATTCGCCAAGCATAAAACCTTTTGGACGTAATAATTGATCCATTTCGTGAATTTCTTTAGTGTCTTGACATATAGAACGAGTAATAGAGAGATTCTATATAAGTAATTTTTGTTATGTGTTTCTGTATGTCTTAGTAGATAATTATCACTGCAGTAATGTACCCTATGTATGTTTGAACACTTCCTAACACTTTGTGCAGTAATTTATGTGGAAATTCCCGAGTATGTCTAAAACATGTTCTATAAACTGCGAGTGAACTAGCGTGAATAGACTGAAAAAGACTATGTACACAAGAACGTATTGTGTTAGTCACTGATAAACCACTTAATATACTCTAAACAAATTGCAGCAGTAACCATATTTTAAACATAGCGTGTCAAACAGTTTTGCCGTTTGGTCACACTGTGTAGGTAGTAACAAATATGCTCTTAGTTCCTTTACAGAAATGGGTCTCAATTGGTTCGGTGTATAAATCTTAAAATATGTTCAGTAAATATTTCTAGAATACAAACAGTTATGGCATAACTGGGGTTTTGCATTCAAAAGCTACTGAAACTTATCGCACGATCATCTCATAATCCACTAAATATTCTGACGTTCGTCCGAAAACCGATATTTCACCATACAGTTCTCAACTGATATCTACATTAATGCCTTTGAACCTGGTCAGTTATTAATAATTCAGATAAATCATAACAATAAAACATCTCCATATATTTCCCAGAAACATGTGATAAAGCAGATACAGTTGCCACTTAACATCAGCAGAATGTCTGAAATAGTATCGTACTTAAGTGATTTATCACTATATTTTCTACGCACAAGATATTACAGACTACTTATGACAATTAGGAGTAAATGAATTATAGTATGAACTAATAATCCCAGAAATCACGTAAAAAGATCAAGAACTACTAGATAAGCACGAACGAATGTACTGTATTTAGAATTCGAAATCAGGCATTCAACAAGTACAAAGGAGTCACTAGTTCATTCAAACACCACATCCGCCACAGCTTTAATTAGAGTCTAAGTGTCTGTAATCAATTGTACGTCTTCTTCTCAAGTTAATACTGTGTCTGTCCGACAATTTGTTGGATAAAGACTCTGCATTATCTAGAATGCACTCATTAGTATTAGAATTAACAACGGGAATCAGAACAGACTCACTTGACTTCGGGGATTGTGAACAATCACCATGCCGGTTTAATACTGAAACTACTACCTAGAATATGAACCATAGACTATCCCCCCCACGAAACAATGTTGGATCTTCATATTCCCAAGTTATGAATAATGTGGCTTCATTTAAAACATCTTTCTCAATTTGACTGGAGTAAACATTGGAAGCAAATTTATGATAAGGACAAACAACAGTTGATATGGAATTATCTGAATTGTAATCAGAATCGAGCTCATTTAATACTCGTGCTTTGCACTAAACAAGTTTCCCATAAAAAACAAATGCATTATGAGGACAAGCAATATTTGATATGACATCAAGATTTGATTCTTCTGAAATAGTTTCCTCAAATTTATTAAGAATGTCATTGCAGAGTAAAGGATCATTAGAAAAATCAGCATCTATCAAAACTACATCAGTTTTTTTATCATGATTAGGTTCATCCGAAATATTTTCACCAGATTTGTAAGAAATGTCATCAGAAATATGTGAATCATTAGGAAAAATCATATCTGGTATAACAACATGGTAAATCTGATAGGTTGATTGATTAGGAATTGTTGTCTCGCAAGATTCTGAGTTTCATTTAACTCTGAACTGCTATATGACTCTAAATTGTCTTTTGAAATCGTTGATAAAGATAAATGATTATTATAAATACTCAACTTATTAGGATCAGAATTACAAACTGAGTGAATATGTCCAATATCACCACATTTAAAGCACTTGGAATTACGAAATTTACATGAATTAAAAGAGTGGAACCTGCCACAGGACAAACATTAACCAAACATGTGCCCATCTTCGTGAACTGCATTGCAACTCCTCAATGAATTATCTGCATAACCTTGAGTATGCACTGGAATGGGGTGACGTAATGTAGTGGAATTTTTTATATCATCATGAATCATTTTACGAAATCACCCTTTACTGCATTCGAAATTTGTATACTTAGCATAGTCTAGAAGTAGTTCCTTGAGAGTTGTATAAGGAAGAGAAATGTGCTTTTCCGGTAAAGCCAAAACTTTTAATAAGCTATATGCTTCTTTTTCGATGAATGTGAGAACATGTGCCACAATATTAATATTTTCATCATCTTCCTTGGTCATAGCCCAGATTTCGAACCTTTCAAAGTAATCCTCATGAGCATCAAAATCCGAATGAATATCTAACTGTTCCATCGCAGGCCCCATCGCGACGCCAATATGACAATTAGGAGTAAATGAATTATAGTATGAACTAATAATCCCAGAAATCACGTAAGTAGATCAAGAACTACTAGATAAGCACGAACGAATGTACTGTATTTAGAATTCGAAATCAGGCATTCAACAAGTACAAAGGAGTCACTAGTTCATTCAAACACCACACTACTTGATGCTTAATGGAGCGATAATTTAAGCATGTATAAATGGCAAAAAATCTTTTCGAACTACGCATTAACCTTACCCAAAAATTTACCTTTTAGTCAACAAATAAAATAAGACAAAATCGGTCCATAGTGAAATGACATAAAATCGCTTAACAAGACTTTTTAAACAATTTTAATTTTACACTGCTTTTTATTTTTCGTTTGGTAATTTAGGCGATTAATAACAGATAAACATTTAATTATTTGAGATCGATGCTACTCTGATGGCGTTATTGTCAACATAATCTGAATATCCTTGAAAATTAGTCACTACTATGCTGGCTGACATTTAGCGGTACTCAATCGTTTGCGAGAGTAGCTGCAATTTATAAAGTAACTCCAAATAACTCCGTTGTAGGCTAGAACGCGAATATTGATAGACCCTAAATTGTATTATGAGAACTCCTGTCATCCAGTTGCAGTCTCTGAAAAACCAGTTTATTTATGTGAACGAAAACCAATAGATAACGCAGTGTTTAGACTGTAGGTTATGTTTATGATTTAGTACTAACTATGAAAGCAATGTAGTATCCTTTTAACTCAGGTGACACATTTTTTCATGTAGAAATCTGTTTTTTATTCATATTGTTTCCCAAATAAAAATATTGCAAACCTAAACGGCGTAATCATTGGTTCTAACCAAATAAATTCATTTTGTATTCTTCAATTAGAATTATGAAACCTCATAGTAAATGTATATACCAGTATGCACTATTACTCATTCTTTCACAAATAACTGGAGTGATATTCAGTCTAACCTACATCAATTCTAGCATAACAGGAACGCAATACTGGACTCTGACTGAATCACCATTTATCATTATACACAATGATTTAATCATAAATCCCAAAGCTAAACTTATCATTGATCCTGGTGTTCGTATATTGATCGGTGCTGGACTATCAATTAAAGTGAAAGGTGTTATTTATGCCAAAGGAACTTCAGGTATGTATCCGACAATTCTCGTTTTCAATCATATTTTGCGTTGTGCCCTTATGAAATAAAATCAGACTCCATGATCTGAGACGTACATTAGGAATAGATTGACACTAAGAGTTATGCATCTGTGCCAAAACAAAAGTGTCGTTATCTAATTTCCTACTAGATATGTATTATCTTCTTCATTGACAGAATTTACAACTAACTGCAGATTTTATTCTAACCCACCAAAGCCTTTCAATTATAGTGCGTAACGGCGCGTGCCAATATGTTAACAGCGTAAGGATCTAGAAGATAAGAGAAATAAAACAAAGTTAAGCCTACTCATCATATGGTATTTTTGTTAACTCAAAATCATACATAACCCAATAGCGCTTGACCAGTAGCACTTTCTTTGATGGTTTTCGATTTCACTGAATTAACAGAGAATAAACGTTATCAGTTTTTCATCAGAAAAACTCAACTTTTTCCACATAATTTGTAATTAATTCTGTTTACTTCAAGTAATTCTACATTGTTTATCAGAATTTGATAAGATTTATTGACAAGAAGAGAAGATAACTGGGCTGTTTTAGTACACTAGACGTAATAGAAAAGTCATAACCTGAATGGTATGTTAGAAAATTAACAGAAGTATTGAGTAGGCAATCAAGATAGCTGAACTCATTTTTTTCCGAAAGTGGGTGTAATTTTGAACAAGGTTATGTGACGTCTTTAGTGCATTCATAATAACTGGGTTACTCCCATTTTTTAGACAATGTTTGCGGGCTTATGTCACACAAGGAATTGTCTTCAAATATTTTTCAAACTCTAAAAGTTATCGACAATATTAAAGTTAAATGAGTAAAAAACTATTCAAAGAAGTAAAATAGTGTATGCTTCTACATTCTCGACATAACAACAAAGTTACTTGACACAACCAATATTCCCAAGGCATAAACAAATTATTGCATCTTAGTGTTAGGATTGTTGGCGAGGTTTTACAGATTTATAAAACGATTTTATTGTCTCCTGTTTTTATATCAACTATACTCTAATCCCTCCGAATACAAAATAATTTATTTAAATATTGAACTACATTAAACTTACTGCAATCGTTAGTGTGATCATTATTTCATTGTTGCCGATAGAGCGACTGAGTTCCTCTATGACTTTAATGAATTACGTTTTACTTCTCAATTATTTGTCCCGCATTATAAACACTGAACATCGGAGTAAACGTAATGAAGTTTCTTCAGTAATATAATTTACGAGTGCCAATATTTTGGGCTATTCGTTTTCGCCCTACACTCAGTCACCCAGTCACTCATAGGTAACGTAGAACTCATCACATGTTTGTACCTGATCAAGTTACCGTATCATGGTAACATAGTGAGATAAAAATATCAAGATAGATGTCAGAGTTGTAAAAGTAGCAACAATATCAGTAACAATAGAAAAGACAATATGATTTTAGAGAATAAAGTTACTACGTGAGAAATAAAGTATGAGATAACTTTAGTAATCAATATCTGATGGGCAACAAATAATGAATACATTTGGGTCATTTAAACCGATTTTGAGCTACGGTATCCAACTTGTTTAAATATTGGTTACGACGATCCCATGGATCCAAATCATGTAATCCTTACTTACCAATTTTCCCTATACACTATTCATCACTTCTTCTACAATGGAATCTTTTATTTGGTCATAAGTTAAGCAACACCTTGTTGATGAGTGATGTAAGTCCAAGGCTACATTTAAAAATGAATAAATTAAATAAAATAAGAATATACACGAATATGCATTCCAGGAAAACATTTCTCAATGACAACAAACCTACCAAATCGTTACGTGGCTGTTGGTAGTCAACGAAAAACTCTGAGCACAAGCAGGTAGTACCTGAGGAAACTAACGTTCCCCATGTGATCAAACTGATAACCATTTCTTTCTTTTTATCTTGTCATCTTTTCAATCATAAATTAACTTTTAGGTTGTCACCATATCTTATTTCCATAAATGTACTTATATCACTTGATTTTATGAAAAAAGCTAGTCTATGCCTCATATTTTTGGTATACATAAACAAAGATTATGAAAATAATATCTATAATGAAAGTGATGATGAAGATGAAAGGTTATGGTTTCGTTCGAAAACATGATTATGTCATATTGGAATATTTAATGAAACTATTATGTAAATTACATAATCTTACTTAATAACTTAATGAAATTGAAATGAATATTTTTTGTTTAAGCAAATTTTTACTAATCAGACAAAATACTTGTACTACACCTAGTGGTGCGATATCATACAATCTGTTTTAATTCTTTCACAATATTCTTTTGCAAACTGGACATTCCTTGCCTTCTATTGCGACAATACTACTTTCTAACTGCTGCGTACTATAATATATCTTCATTGCCGACTACTCGTGATGTTATAATTATATCATAGAGTACTTGTGTTCTTCGTACAATACTAACCAAAGATAAATCTGAGCCTACAGGACTAATGACTATTTCGCCTCAATGACAATGCTGTAATCCGAAATCCTGTCTCCTATGATTTTTTTATTTCTTTTGTTTTACATTATTTAAGCCTTCATAAAAATTATTATTTAAAACTATTCGTGAATGAAGTCCTTTCAATCAATGTATTCTTAGTCTCTTGAAATGTTTCATTCCTTTGTTGTATCAATCGAATTGTAACTGTAAATTGGTGTGAATTCTGTAATTTTCAATACACGTTTTATTATAATTATCATACTATTAGGTAGAAATCATTCAGTGTTGTCCCTGATTAATGAAGATAAGTCAAATTAGAACCAAATAGCTATCGATTTCTTCCTAGCATATTTTTACATTCACACAGATGATGTCCGTGATGAAAGCTATCTTCAACTTACACTAACCTTTATTAGTCGCTGAAATAAATGATAGTGATAATCATGAATTCATTAGTAACTTAGTTCCAGATGAACTTCCGGAGTTCTGTTAAGAAGGTTGTGGCTGATCGAGATCAACCATTTTTAGACTTATGCAATGATTATCATCAGTAAAGGATGATTTTCATACTTGGTTGAGAACAGGCTTAAGTTGAAAAGGTTGACTTTTGAATAAAGATCCAATGATTTTGAAATATCGTGCTCAACGTAAGAATAACTAAATATTCCTTGTTTCGAATAGTGGCTAGAATCCATGAGGCATATTTCGCATTATTGATAACTTATGAGCTGGATTCACTTAGATGTCATGTTGTTCACATTAAAACTTGAACTTACTAAATATCACTTTAAATGCCACTAAGCTGTTGAACGAAGTAGCTACCAATTCGCTCAACAAGTATGATATTTATTATTTGTATGGTAATGTATTTTCCTGATGTTAATATTCAGAACTGAAGCTGATCAGTCTCCGTCGACACATGAGCTTCTTGAGTGAATGTCGCAATATAACGCTTTTAGTTATAAGTTTACGACATATTTTGGATGGTAGATTGTTCGTTGTGTCATATATCAAGATTCGTGAGATGAATGTTCAGTTATGTTCATAAATAATCTTATTAACTCAGCTCCAGTATTTATTGGACAGATTTTACGCTTAATAATAACTGTAGTTGGGAACGTAAACTGTATCGTGTTTTCTCCAAAATAGTATAGATGCTAAATTCGCTCTCTTATAAAAAGTGAATGAAAACGAAACAACTATCTGGTCCTCTGTGGATTTCAGTAATTTACTAACACGTTAACTTCTTAGGTAATAATAATTGGTCAACTTTTTTTCATCTTACGATTGCATCTTAATAAAAACTAATATTTATTGGCATAAGGTGACCAGAGACAATCGAAAGAAAGCTGTTAGACAAACATAACACCGGTTACTACTTAGTAACTAAGTCGTATAGAATAATGATTACTGAAGACAGGTGAGATTAAGGTTTGTACAAAATACAAAATTTGTTTGCTTTTAAAGACCATTTTAACTCGTTTGTTTCAGAGTTATCATCATGAATTGTTGTTGTTATCTGAAGTTGTTTCATTAACATAGAAACAGTATGACAAACACTTCCAGTATGCATATTTTTTACTGTTAGGGATTTGCAGAGCTTTTTGAACTCCAGTTTTTATCACGAATGGATACTACAAAGATAACCCTTGGAAACCAGAAAGCATTGGACAGTTGTTTCACCTTAACATGGGACTCTTAAGTAGTGTGCACTAACTACCCTACTGGGGATCGAACTCAAAACCTTCAGATTTCGTAGTGAGTGCTTAATATTTAGATTACTGACTTAACATCCAGTGATTTACATATCTAACTTCATTCATTTGGCCATATTGTCCAACTATAATCTAATGTCACTGGCCTCAGAGACGCCATGGCTGAACTTCACTGGTCACAGCTTCCCATTAAAATTCTCGAAATTAGTCATTGATGAGCACATGATTATTATTAGTGCAGGTGTTTTATGGGGGTCATTGAGTTCCATAGTTTACATCATGAACTAGTAGTCAATAATGATAAAAATCTGTGAAAACTAAGGACATGATATTTCTGGTTAACGAAATTACAAATTTACATATTCTAATGTTATATATATAACTTTTATTTTATTTTCAATAGATCGTAGAATTGTATTCACGAAATGGAGTGCGTCTGATAAATATAATTCTCCACTTGAAAACTATGTAAATGAAACTATGATATTACCACGCGTTAACACGTTTACTTACCAACCTTATCATAAAATTAGATTAGTGAATGGAAAATGTACCAATCAAGGTGAACTGCAAATATGGTTAGCTAGTAAATGGAGATCTGTTTGTAGTCAAAATAATGAGTAAGTTATTAAAAGTTGAAAATTTGAAATTGAAACTGTTCCAATCATATTTTTAAGGACAGTTAGACAGTGGCTAGTAGTGAAATCAAGGGAGTGTGGTTTTCTTATACTTGTGAGTGGTCAGCTAGATGTACCTGCTCCCCGGTGTTAATATTCACACTGAAAGTCAATGTGAAATAATGGCTATATCGAGACGATCCACAAAGGACACATATATACCTAAAGAGATTGATCAGATGCAGTCCTTAACATTAACAAAAGGAAGATTTAAGTAATCATTATAAATAATATTCATAAGTGCTTATATCATCCCGTTATTGATATTTGGAACTAAATATTGATTAGTCTTTGCTGGCAAGATGAAATGCGTACCATTGATTCTAATACTATCCATAATTTAAGTATTGTCAAAAAGGCTGCATCGAGATGATTCTCTCAAGATAAACATTTCACCTTAAGGACTGGTGAAACGTTAGTCTTCACTATCAACAACGGAAAAATGCAATCCTTTCCGAATAAGCGTCATATGCGATTAACACTTTATTGGTCATTTAGACTCATTAGTTTAACTCATAAAGCGTTGACGATCGAAGAGATAGGTAGGTGTTTGAAGTCTTTTTGTAAATATCACCACTGGGGTATAGATTCATCTAAATGTCGAACCTAGAATAGAACAAAATTAGTGTCCTGGCTATGAATGCTAGCCACAATATATATATATATATATATATATATATATATATATATATATAAACTTGTTTGAAATATATTTTTCAAGGTGGAATTGACAAGTCTATCTAAGCCTGATCACTATTGAAAACCTGGAAGCACTGGATGGCCGTTTCATCTTCAGCAGTGCACATCCACTATACCGCACGCGGGGATGTTCCCAAACTGAAATATATTTGTTAATATACGATTGTTTCAGTCTGTCAGTTCGTAAACATCTAACTCATATTCTCCACTATGTACTGTAAGACTCTGAAGTTTAACGAAGTGGAAATAAGATTTAGTGCCAGTTTTCTGGCTGAACCACTCAAGATAAATACTAATGGGTATTGTATTCCCATTTTTATCATAATGATACAAATGTAGTCGTCCACTCATCGCCCAATGACCTTAAGCTTGGACAATTTTTTAACGTTCCCAGGTTTTCAACGGTCTTCCAGGTATTTCCAGCATTAGACGAAAACTATGCTCAAACTGAACTAATCCCTACAAACCATTCAACCATGCAACGACATGCTCTTTAAAACAAATTGTAAACCATTCTCTATTCCACAACAACACATCTTTGTAGGTTATATTTCTCACAGATTAGTCACAGTTATCGCAAGATTAAAAGCCTAGGCGCAATAAGTAGTTCGTACGTCCTGCCATGATACTTTTTAGCGTTTTTCATTCAATCTGTGATTAATATAACCTAAAAGTTTAATCAATCTTCGCAAAACATCCTTGTACTTATATACCTTTCTTTGCGGTATTATTACTTAATGCATAATAGATGGAGTAAAATAGATTCTCGGATAGCTTGTCAACAACTCGGTTACTTCAACGGGAATTTCTCTTTTGGTGCACAGTCGTTTAATCGATATCCAAGTGTACAAATTATAAAACCTCATTGTTTTGGCAACGAGACAAATGAACTCGGTTTATTTTCTTGTCCCGGTTTAACGAAAAATATCAGTTATGGAAGAAATGTATGCGGTACGTTAATGTTTCTTCGTTTGTTTTTTAAAGTAGCGATTATATTCTCTGCTTATTAATGATAATTAATTGTTGTTACTCCCTTAATATCATCACATTAGATAAATCATTATGATTTTAAGTCAGTTAGCTAAGAAGTTTATACACTGAAAAATTCATAGAGTGAATTTAATACATACTAAAGTTTAGATATAACCATTTTACAATCAATTTGCATGATTATGACAGTTTCAGAAGGAGTTTAGTTTTTATTTTTTCTTCCGATTTCGGTCATTAATTCATTCACATACGCTTGATCATAGAGAGAAAATTGTAACTGTAAGCGAAGACTTACGATCAAAAGCCGAATATTTGTGTTTATAGTTCATCAGCAGATATAATTTCTAAAACTGATCTATAAAAAAATATATGCAAGTTATACTTATCTGGGTTAATAACTCACTCATAACAACTCGCCAAAAATTTTTCTATCAATTACAATGTACGCTTACGATAGCATATGGTCTGCCCAACCTTTTACAACAAATAAAGTTCAAATAGTTTACTGATGATGATTTTTCTATGATACAAAGTAATATGAGTTGAAGACCTTAATTTAATATCAAACAGTTTGATATCATGTATAACTCCGGCTCAAGAAATAGTCAATAATTTAGAGATTATTCTCAAACTTAACTCAATCATTGTTTACAACTATGTTACATCAAAATGAAGTTCATTTATAATATAGAGTTGTACTCATCACAAGTTGATATGTGAGGATAACGGATCGTTTGTTGAGAATTTTCTTTCAGTTTAAAATTTATTTACTTTTCAGTTCATCGATTTACACTACCATAGACTTTTCAAGTGATATTTAATCAGTGTCAATCAGTTGTAATAAGGTGGCACTAAGTTGATTTGTTATTTAGTCAGCAAGATACCCTGTACCAACGTTTCAAACTAATTTACACTCTTCAACAAGGTAATCTTGAAGGAACTAATACCCCTTGGTAGAGTCGAAGCCGTGTTACGTAGCTTCACAGTCAGAGAAGTTACCATGAGCTATTCAGGCGAAGATTTCCAAATGGCATGAAACTTAAGTTCTGGCTTTCTTGTCAGCGACCTCTAACAATCTTACATCCCAACATGGCGCATACCAAGTTGTATCACTTAAACTAGTGACTTCATTGAAACTTGATTGATAGAATTTGATTACCATTAAGAAGGACTTGATATACATGATCAATCAATTATGTTTATCATCTCTGTATTTTGCTTCATGGTTCTACCTTTAAATGATACGAACACTTCATAAGGCCACTTTATCTTATGAACAATTTTGAGAAAGATTTTATGAAGGATATATATATATATATATATCAGGAAAGTGTAACCTGTAAAACCAACTTTCCCAATGATAAGACAATAATTCACTGATGAAATCAAACATTATTAACAACACCATGCTATAAATTGACTGTAGTTAGATATATAGATTACTGAATATGTATTTTAGTAACCGAATAGTATTGTGATTATTTATGCTACTTAACAGTTTCTATTTATTTTTAACATTATTTTATTTTGTTATGATTTTAATTAAGTCAAGAGTTATTTTTATTACAAAAATAATATGGGAAAATATTCGACATTAAAATGATATAGTTAATGAATATATATATCATACTGTGATATCATAAATGAATACTCTAACCGGTTTTTCGTCCCATATTTCTAAATGGGAATTTTCACTTTATGAAAAGAAAAACAGTCATTCATAATCATCATGGACCCTAACACAAATATGCATTAATTAAGATTGTCATTAACATATTGACATGACAAGATGAAATGAGCAAAATCAATAGTGAAGAAATCAAAATAGTGTTGCTGAAATGATGATAGGAAAGACTAAACATTTATAACATAACTGCATGGTTGGTTGAATCTTCTTATTAATGTTTAGGACTGAAGTCGATCGATCTGTTATTGACACATGTGAATCCTACAAGGATTGCCTTAAGTCACCAGCATTATACGCAAAGATGAATGGTAGCTAGCAGTGGAATCCAGGACGCGCCTTTCATCCTATTTTTGGACTCGCCAACTGGATGTACCTGCATCCCAGAGTTGATATTCATCCCAGGACTCGAAATACTTATTTAAAACATAATTTGAGTAAATGAAATAGAAAGGTGTATTCGAAGGACTAAATAGTTCTCAAGATCTACGTGTACGATAAACAGTCAATACATCTACAGCATTTAGACCTATTCTAATTCATGTCATCCAACATCTTTAACCATCGATTATAATTATCAAGTGGTTCTCATTTAAGTAGTCTCCTTCTCGAATTTCATTAGTTCTTCAACGAATAGTAATTTGTGACAAAAATATCTTTATCTATCCAATTAATTTATTAGAAATAAAGAGAATTCAGCGAAGAAAATTTTCTCTTCGACGAAATCATTTACTTAAGCTGTACATTAATAGATAAAAAATTTTATAAATTTGAACTTAACTTGGTACGTAATCAATACACAGAATACAATTCCTTCATATTGCACTGATTACATAAAAGTTTAACACAGGTGAATGGAATAGCTGTTCATTGGTCACATGTTCTAAAATCGATTAACATAATCAGACGAATAGATGAATATTTGTGTATTTATGTATAATGCGTCTATGACAACATGAATATGTGAATAAGTGAGAGAACAATTTACGAGTTGCATAGACGTTACATCAATATAGGATATTACAATATTCAACTGAAATGAATCACAAACATGAGTCATCTGTTTATTTAGACATAGAAACTGACATAGAATCGGTCCAGTAAATGTGCACAATTAAAATTTTACAAAATTAAATGTGATGTAAGGAAGTAATAGTAATGCAAACTGTGTTCCCCTCCCTTTAGATATAAGTATAAGAAGGTAGTTGAGTAGATAGACTATTTTATTTATCTTGGAAGTGTCTTTAAATTTTCAAACCAGATAAAATGTCTTTCTGTCTATCGTATTGTGAGTAAACTAATTGTTAGTCCGATTCGTTTCTTTTATGACTGCAAAACATAGCCTTAAAAAGTATAAGATAATCAGTTAATTGCAATCGACCACAGATAAATTCAAAGCATCAACCAAGTATGATGGAACCATTGAATATGTAATTTTGAGTTCATAATTATGATACCAAGTAAACCTCTATTGATTTAGACAGTTGGGACATGTTTTAAGTATATTTAGGTATTACTAACCTACAGTCAAAATAGTATGGCATAGAAGAATACAAGAGGAATTATGACAATGACCAAAAATTTTCATATTAGTTTAAAGTACGTATAACATTCGTAATCAAGGTTTGAACGCCCTAGGTGACAGAACTTCAAAACAGTCACAATAAAAAACATATATTTATTATCTTCTACTGGAGATTAGGCTTCACTCTCATTCTTAATAGTATATCCCCACCTTTTTCTTTCATTCTTGTTGATCTATTTTCCATATGTTTAAGTATTTACTACGGTTCATACAACCAATATTTCTATTAATGTCAACTTCTAACTCAGTTCTTAGCCATAAACTGACCGAAGTTGAGACCAAGGAAAACATGAATGGCCTAAATTTGAAACTTAATTAGGACATGTTTATACACTACTGCTAAATATGAAGCTCATGAACGGATATATTCTTTGACTAATTACTCCTCAAAGTCCCCACAACAAGTGATAGTTCGTTAATAAAATTACTTACTTACCGGATTTCTAATCAACCAAAATTTAAAGTTTTGTTAGGAATCCGTTTTTTTTTCTACGACTTCGATAACATCTATCCAAATTGAACAGAAAATGTTTGATTACTTATGAGTAGATAAATACATCTTTGAAAATATCTTCATAATTATTTTGTTTTAAATCAGATTTACAAGATTTGGTTAATTTAAATTGTTGGGGTGTTAATCCTAGTCAGTTTATTGGTTATTGGAAAGGAATAGAAATTATCAATGCAACTCATAAAGAAGTGAATATTCCTGAAGAATGGGGTGGAACTTATGGAAATACACGTTTGAATGTTTCAGCATCAGTCTTTGAATATGTAGACATTCAGTTTGCAGGTAAATAGAAAGTATAATTGTTATTATTGTTCATTGGATTGCGGTAAAAACTGTCGTCAAATACTTGTATCGTTTCACATTGATCTGCTTAAGTTTCTTTAATTGATGCTCCTTTTTATCAAAATGACATGTTTAGTGTCTTGACAATAAGGAGTACAATAAAAATCCATGTGACCATCAGTGTGTATCTAATGCTCATTGACTAGCTTATTACAAAGGCTGGAAACAATAGAAAATATTTTATTAAACCACAGCCCTAGGTTGACGAGAATCTGGAATTAAGAAGCAATGAACAATTGTTTCGTTTTAAAAATGCAACTCCCCAGCAGTGTACACCCACGACCCTACCAGGGATCGAATCTACAAACGTCTTTCAACAAGCACTTAGCCTTTATACTATTGTACCACTAATCAATAGTTTGGATTTCATAGGTTGTTGTGCAATCATCATCTAATACCATTGATGGATAACTGATTCAGATACTACATAGCTGAAACTCCACTGGTCACAACTTCTCACTATAACCTCGGGAATCACTTCTCAAAGTTAGTTATTGATGAATACATGTTACCAATAACGTTAAGTGTTTGTGCAGATTATTGAATTTTATTGTTGATATTCAGTTTACGTCCAGTGTTTTCTGGTTTTCAATGGCTGTCTAACTAATTTCAGTCCATAAATTATGTAATATAGTAATAATTATCAACATTAAATATATACATTCTTCCAGTAAATGATTTTGAACTTTTACATTAAGGTGTGAATCGATCAAACTATCAGTCGGCAGCATTAAGCTCAACTCCCTATCCACCAGTCCTATATAATGTCCATTTAGCTTATAATGCCCATCATGCTATAAACTTTCAAAGAATTCGTGGTCCAGCATTACTTGAAAATGTTACGGTAAGTTTTGGGGACAGGATACGTATCCGTGAGTTTGTAGTTCATATTCTTCTCACTGCTCAATATATGTACAACATCTTCCGTTTTTAGGTTCATTTAGTAGCAAATTCTGTATACAATAGCATAATTTTCACTAAGGGTTTCATTTCAAGCTCCAACTTCCACTTTATCTGGTTTTACAGTTGGAAAATTGAAGTGCACTGCAGAAAAAGATGACATATATGGATAGTTTCAGATGATGGAAATAAAATCCCTCGTGAAAATTATGCTGTTATACGCTGCACTCACCTAATAAATAAAGGGAAAATTGCTCGGAAGCGCTAGATATTGGACTAATATTGAGGATTGTTACCCTAACACTAGGTTTTGTCAATCTTGCTTTTCGCTAAAAATTTACTAACATTTATGCACTACCAAAATAAGAAAACTTACTATGCACATCATGTTGATAGATTCAACGAGATGAAAGTGATAAACAGACCAAACCATATACTGTAAATATTACACACTCAATATATGCTTAATAAATAATTCAGTAGTTACTAAACACCACTAACTATTAACGTTGAAGCTTATCTCATGATTTTTTTAGAATACAATCATAGCGTAGGCATTATGTTATAATTCTATCTTTATTAATGAGGATAACAGGTCGGTTAACTCGTTTTAACAAAATTGTAAAAAGCCAATTTCTGCCCAACTGCGTGTCCTAGTCGATTTGGCACCAATTATCTGAGTGAATAGTTACAATCATTGACTTTTGGCTAAGACACCAAAGTTCTCAAACTTAGTATAAAACATTGCGGTCTTAAAACCTCGGAAGTGATTAATTTTAAAGGTAGTGAAACGATTATTAATAAATATTTACCATATCAGTAGATTACTGTTTATTACTTGAGTTAATTTATTTTGGTTATTTATTTGCTCTGAAAAATTGACTTACACTAAGTCATGAAACGTCAGAGATACAATTTTTCTACTCATTGGGATATACCAAAAATATATTTATTTTTAACTTTCAACCCAATGCTCAATTTATTTAATAGTATCAAGTCCAACCTTGACATTGATACCCATTACTGTTTATTTTCCAGTAATAGGGAAGATAAAAAATCTCCACAACGTTTTCAAAACTGTAATAAGTTTTAATATGTAAAGAAATTAAACGTAGTAACAAAATTCGATAAAACTTATCTGTTATCAATGATTCAAACTTCTGCTACTTAAATGCGTCTACAAATGAGTCTCTCATAATCTTTACCTAGATTTTGTAAACTGTTTAAAATTGAATGCTATACACTAAACACAATTATCCTACCTTAAATATTCATGGTATGTTTATCTTAGTTCATCCATTTATAATAAATACATTTTTATAAAATATCACAATTTTTGTTTGTATTTTATAGACAGAAAATAATCATGGACATGGAATTAAAATCACATCAATTATGGGTTATATTAGATTAAAAAGTGTTACTTCATTAAGAAATAATGGTGATGGATTAAATATCAAATTATTGAGCGGTCCACATTATCATTGGCCTGAAGAAACACTTGAATTCATACATAAAGCTTATTGGGTTTGTCGACCTGGTTCAATACCGGCTAGTCCAGTTTTTCCATTCTTAATGATAGCTGAATTACCTGGACCAACGTTTAAAACAAGTGGAATGTGTGAATTTGTAAGTTATGTATAATTCTGAAAACGAAAATTTACTCAAAAGTTAATTTATTTACTCAAGTTGTTATATTTACTAAGTGGCTGGAAGTTAGGCCCAGGAAAGCTAGGAAATAGATTTCGTTTTACTTTGTACTAGTTGGTAATCCATAACTGCAATCTTCAGCTTGTGATAAAGATTCGAACCACACATTGAGCAACTGCTCCCTCAATATTCCTGGTTCATTGCTAACTACTACTAAATCAAATACAATATCACAGATTCACTATTCAGTAATCACAATATCACCTTCAGTCAATTGGTAATACTGAGTAATCACTATCAGATGTCTTCGATGATAACTGTCTTCCATTAACTGACTATTTTACCGATATCAGTCCCTAATGTAAACTGTCTCTAGGACTTCAATTCCAAGTTCTAATGAGAAACTTTGACTGATTACTTTAACTCACGAACTGATCCTAGCTAGATCACTATTGGAAACTTGTAAGCACTTGTCGGCCTTTTCTTCTTGATATGGAACTCCTCAGCAGTGCGCGCCTACGTCTTGTTCTCAGGAATCGAATTCAGGACCTAGAGTCTTACACCGAAACGTCTAATTTTTAAACTGCTGAGAAGGCATCCATCACTTTTAATACCTAACCTTAATTAATCCAATATAATTCATAACCATCATCCACTGCTTCCAGTTTTCCAGTGGTGGTCTAAGATTAGTTTGTAGTTTAAACTATTAAAGTCATACAACTTGCACAAATACCCTAATACTCATTAAGACTGATACAAGTTCAACCGTCTCGAGAGAAAAGCATTTATCACTAACTGAAGTCGAAAGTATAGACATTTGATCTAGAAACAACGCGTTGATGACAAAGCCTGAAGGTTTTAGTTTCGATTCCAATCCATAAGTGAAGTCTCATACTAAAACAAAATATACCCTACATTACACCCTAGTTTTCAATAGTTGTCTAACAACAGTTAATTCATAATGTAAACTACTTTTAAAAACTGAAAAATCTGTTCACAACCTATTCATCCTTATAATGTTCATAAATCTTTTTATTATTATTATCACTCCCTAAGTTTTTTATGTCATTTTAGCATGTCGCTTCGGATCAAACAGATCAAATTATAACTATCAATCTACTTGAAACAATTCATGATCCGATAGCATCTGGAAGAATTGAAATATGGGATCAATTGACAATGAATCAAATTGCTAATTGGTCATTAGTTAATCAAACAATTTTGAATAATCATAATAATCATACGAATTATCCTTCTTTAGTATTCCATAGAAATTCAGGTCCACTGAAAGGTTTAGTATATCAAGGTGTTTCTTCTATCAGAAATGCTATTCTAATAAAATTTATTTGGAAAAAACTAGCGGATCGTTTTGTTTGTTCAGAATTTGCTAACTGTATACGTGCATTACTTCATATATCTGTGGGTCAGAGTAAGTTATATGAAATGGTTTTCAGTGTGTTGTTGTAAACTTATTTTTATATAACTAATAATCATTTCCATAGATTATAATCTCCGTTTAGCCTCTAACGTGCTAGAGTGATATAGGAATAATGATAGTAAGTTTGTGCAAATTTTTAAATTGAAGGTAGTTTCTAACAATTGACTTTAGGTAAACCATTACTGAGAACCAGAGAACAATTGATAGACGTTTCGTCCTAGTATGAGACCCTTCCGCAGTGCTCACCTTCTATCCGGCGAAAGATGGTAATCACATGATGTCCTACACTAACTGTAGGTGGAAAGGTTAAGCATTGAAAGTCAACTTAATGGTCTCAACGTGATGTGCTCACTGAAAAGCATAAAAGTCTTTTGTTCAATGCATATGAGGCCATATGCTTGCTTAGTTGATGAGTTTTATTTTGGAAAGGAAAATTTGTCCAGTATTCTCTGGTCTACAGTAATTGTTCAGCTAACATTATTTCATGATCTCAGCCGTTTTGAAGCTTTTAGATCCTACCTTATCAATTAAAATTTCCTCGGAGAACATAGTGCATGAGTGTCATAATTCTTTCTTTAAATAGCTTTCTATTTCCATTCTTATATCTTTGTTTGTACAGAAAAGTTATGGAGATGACTAAATTGCATAGTATACACCATAGGTTGACTTCAGTTAGACAGCCATTGAAAAAATAGGAAGCAATATACAACTGTTTCGTTTTAATATATAATTCTTAAACAGCTTAAATCCTTGATGGGTCGTGCGTGAGCACAGCTGAGAAGTAACGGTTCGTCAGTGCTTCTCTTTTTTGTCGTAATTCATTGATCTGGTATATATATATATATATATATATATATATATATATATATATTCCGATTAGTTGTCTTGTAAAGAAAACGAAGTTATTATTTATAATAATCCATCTATAATTAACAATTCTAGTATTTTAAGCCGTTTGAAGTTTCCAAAATTCTTTGCAACTCCCATTCTAAGGAATATTCACCGATCGTCAAACTAGTTTGAAAAAGTTAAAAAATAATTGATTACTATATCAGGTTAGCACATACCAGCACATTGGTTAAAACTCTAGATATTTTGCAAATTAGTTACTTACAACATTCAAAAATGCATAACTCTGTTATAAAAACAGTGACAAGTATTCTTCAAAGTTCTAAGACTTTAATCAAATAGAATAGAATAATTCTGATGGAAATACTATCTATCATAACTATTTGTTTATTTTGATGAGACTTTTAATATTCTCATTACTGTTATTGTAGTGAACAGAACACGGGTGGGGACAATCGAATGTATTTGACACAAAATTACAGGACATATTATGAAATCTAACAATCATATAGTAAATGCTTTATTTTCAAAATGTCCATCACTTGTCTCAAAATGACTCAGATTTTATTGTTCTTGCATTTTCATACAAATTGCATTCTGTTCCCATACTTTACTGTTCGATCCTCTTATTTTTCTGATACCAGACATTCTGTTCACGCCTAACGTCATGTACCACTTATGTCGATATAAGTAGCACACACCACATTATCACTGTATGAATATATTCCATTTCCCGTTTTTCTGTAAAATATTTATTTCTACTTTTTCGTCCTTATTTCTCACTATGATGAAAACAAATAAGAAACAATCCAAAGTCATTTGTGTTACTGATAAAAAATAACTCAATTTTTAAGTGTATGGGAAACTTGAAGTCATTAAAATCCGCTTACAACGATTATAAAACCATATAACATCTTATAATTTCATCTTGATCTCTTCAACAAATGGAATGAAAAGAAGTTCACGGCACATAACACTTTCCACTACCATTACGTTTTAATTAATTAATTAATTAGTACTTTTTTAATAATCCTATAAGTTAACTTTCATTGTAATCGATTTATAAGAAAGTACCCCTAAAATGATTAATTTAATGTAAACTCCACATATCCTGATGATAGATTTACCGATGGAATCTGGAATTTTTACATTTAATTATTAACTTACTTAAAAAACATGTCATGTTCAAAGAGTGGAAGTATAGAATTATATTACAGTTAATAATTGCACTGTTTGTGAAATAATTCCTCGTAATCACAGCCATCTTTCCACATGATTATCAAAATAATATTATGTTTTATTTAATACACATATAAGTGAAATCAACAAGTTGATGATTGAATTAAAAATCATTAATATAATTACATTATTTTTTTGACACTACTCAATTTTTTTCATTTAGCTAAATTAGCTGAAGTAATATTGAAAAACTCAATAATTAGTGAAAATAATCAACATGGTCTATCACTTCATAATCCATGGACATATATTCATTTAGAAAATAATACATTTGAACAAAATCAATATGAAGCTGGTGTAAAAATTCTCGGTGGATCAGCTGATATTCTTGTAAATAATAATCAGTAAGTAATAGTTGTTGTTGTTATAGTTGAAAATTTGCCTACTTCATTTAGCTAATAAGTTTAATCAAATTGAATGAAATATGAGTCCTACCTTACACTGCTAACTATCATCTATTTCTGTTTTAAAATATTTATGATTTAATGAGAATTTTATGGCAAATTTCATAAGATACATAGATACCAAAAAGGGACTGTTTAATTACAATCCTAACTATCATTGGGAAGATTCAAAAATAAACAATATCAATGAATATTTATAAAATGTTATTTTATGTTCTATTAAATGAAATTCTTGAATTAAAAAGTAATACAATTTATCTATAAAGTGAATTATAGTCAACTTACAAATAGATGATCTTGTAGTAGGTTCGAAAACTCTAAAATAACGCGAGTGTTATTCAAAAAAACGTATAGAAAATTCTAGCTGCATTTCCTGGAGTTCTAGTGAGAAGCCATTACCAGTGGAGTTCAACCAGGTCTGTTGTGAGATATCAGCTCACTGAAGACAATGGTGTACGGTGGCTCAATTTCGTGGATTGGTTGAAGTTAGACATCAACACCGTTGAATGCCGGTCGGCTCAGTGGTCTAATGGTTAAGTGCTCGCGCGCGAGACTGATGGGTCCTGGGTTCGAATCTCGAGGGGGGGCGGGATCGTGGATGCGCACTGCTGAGGAGTTCCGTACTAGAACGAAACGGCCGTCCAGTGCTTGCAGATTTTCCGTGGTGGTCTAGCTTCAATTGACTCATTATTTCAACTTGTGAAATTTCTAAAATCTCTACAAAATCCCTTCTGCTATAGAATATTAGTTGGCTATATACAAAACGAATACATATATATTATAAACTATACAAACGTTAATAACGTTTAATCAAATGTCACGTACTCATTAGATTCAAAAGTCACTCAACAAATATGATGGAGCAAATATAATTTCAATGTTCGGAATATATATACCCAAATACTAACAAATGTTGTATTTATAACCTATGGTTATTGCAGAAGATAGAGTGAGAACATACAGTGATGTGGTTAATACATGTATCTCATCAATGGTAATCAGTATAGCATGCACACAGTGCATAGGAAAGTCAAGAATCGACTTGAACAAAATTATCTAGCCAACAATAATGCTCTGACAAATTACATGAAATTATAAAAAAAAACACAAATAATGACAGAAATTATTTACAAATTATGTTTACTTTGGCCATACCCGATAAATACGGGAATTGAGCTTCTAAATTTACTAGTTGTGGACATGAATAAATAAACACAAGTTGCGTTGTACCTTAATCCTTGATACACTTTTTTTATTCAACTACTAGCCTATGGCAGTTGTAATTTTCTGAGTCTGTTCAATAAATACGCAAACGCGTGTCAGAAACACATTATGTAACGAAAATTAGAAAGCCATGCTGAATCATCCTCTTCATTTATCAGTCTTAGTGTTATATGGCTTCTTTTCAGTCCCAAAATGACAAACAGCCACGTGAGGGATGGAATCGGATGTTAATAATATGAAAGAAATAGAAAATAATTAGGTAGCCAAAGATCATGAATTTTGTAAACTTTCAATGATGATTAGAATAATAGAAACAGAGATGTTCATCACTAAATGATTATCAGCTCAATAAAGCTAGCTACAAATATTAGAAAAGACAATTATAAAATATACCCGTAAATAAAAACTATGTTGAGAAAATAACAAGGCTTTATGTTGGTCATTGTACTGAACATCGTTAACGGTATTAGAACCAATACGTAACTATGGTAGATCGGAAATTTTGTTGGTAAAGTGCTTTGTGGAGAGATTTGTTTAGTTTAAAGATGGATTGTCTCACGGAACGATGTGAATCAGAGATTCATCAATAATCAAAGCTAACTGTATAGATAAAGTTCACCAAGTCGGGAACGAGGTAGCAACTCTTTAGTGGTATTAGTTTATTCTGGTCAGTGTTTTTTTGTTGGTAGGATTGTTTTCCGCGGGATGGAGTTTCTGATCCCAAGCAGAACTCTTCTCCGTTACCCGGGCTTGGGACCGGTAGTTACCCTAGAAGATCTAAAGGTGGAGTTGATATTAGTTTAGGATTTCACTATATTACTAATTGAAGGTGCACACTGACTATGTGATATAAATATGTAATAATCGCCGTAAAACCTAGAAGTATCGGGTATCGTGTATACACATTACTGAACAGTCAATTATCCAGTACTTGTGATTATTGATGTCATTTTATCAATAAATCTTATGATAGGTTACTTTATGTTTTTTAAACACTTATTTCCTCAAAGTTTTATTAGAAATCAAAATTCCGGTTTAAACATAAGTGTAACAGGTGGATTTAATCAAATCAACAATTCATTATTTCATAATAATTATGGACATGGTTTAGTAATCTGGAATCTTAATCAGTCGGATTTGTCATCATTACGTCAACCAAATCTTCCTCTAAAAACACATGTTCACCTTTCTAATTTCACAGGTAAATTCAATGTACATTTATTACTTAATTATCTGTTCTACGGTAATAATTTGGCAAAAAATAAATTGAAGTTAGAACAAATTAAAGCACAATACATTGGTGGATAGAAGTACAGTACAGGGATGAACTTCGGCAATTTCCTAAAATGATTGCATTGTTTTAAAAGCCAACTTTTCAGTTAATCGGCAAAGCGTTTGTATAAATTATAAGTACTTCTTGATAAATAGTTGAACCTGTAAGGGTTCATAGGTTTTAGGAAGTTAACTGATTTTTATCAGTAACCAATTTTCCTATATTTTATAGAAATATTACACTATTAATATAAAAGTAACTTTATTTATACTAAACGAATCTTTCTCATAGCCATAAATAGTTTTATAAAAAATTTATTATCCCCTAAAAACTCTTTATTTATTAATATCCTGAAGTTTTAGGAAAACGAAATTATAATAAAACTATCACTGACGTCATATTTATATAAACATATTATGCGTTGAAATCGTTATCTGAAGTGATCAACTGATATGTTGATCATAGTAATATTCACTATATTATGATGAAAAGAATGTTTTCTTATAGTTGCAAACGTTCTAAGCACCATAATAAGGTTTTCCTATCTCTCATTTTATGCGATAAAAAGTAATTCATTCATGTTCGACTTTCATGAAAGTAGTTTTCTCGATTCTGGTTACTATGTCCTTTTACTATGATTTTACCTAGTAATGTTTCCAAAATGTTATTTTCACTTGAAAAAAATACATAAATTTCAATAACAAGTCTGACTCCATCTATTTTTCATTACCTTTTTAAATACTAAACCACAGATATGATACTACACCAATTCGATTCACTTAGGTTAAAAACTCGACAGATAAAATCCAGTTAATACTAGATAGAATAACATTGATAAACACTTGCACTCACCGTATTTATAACTGAATAATGTACTTATTATGATCTCATAAAGACCAGTTCCATACCATCGGGTGCAATCACTTCGCTTCTCAATATTATAGACACTCCATATTAACAAATGTCAACTGGCACGTAGCCTATTTCCAAGACGTATTCTTAAGCACCTTTAATCATCTGACATCTAGGTGTGGTTAATGAGATGGGGAATCAATTGGGTTATTATTTACAATATAAATACTTCAATAGAATCCGATCAGCTTAAATAACTAGGCAAACATAACATCGATTATTACTTAGTGATCAATCAGTACTTAATCATAAAACTCACAGTTAACTGAGGTATTTACATTGACTTATCTACTTATGAAAAGCAATATTGATTTTTTCACATATACATACATATGTACTTTTTATTTAATTTACAGAGAATTATTATGATGCAATTCGTTTTTACAATTCTTGTCTTAGAATGGAAATTTTGGTAAATTTTACATATTTTTTCAAAAATCATCGCAACGCAATCAGAGTTTACTCATGCCTTTGTAAAGATCTTAACGTAAGTGTGTATTACATTATTTCGATTCATTAACACATATTAGACATTTGAAGGGAACTTGTTTTTTGGTATTACGTTTTATAAATACATTAAATTTAGAACAACCGAAAACATTTAGGTTAATAAAACTATCAAGTTGTAACTGTACTTCTTATAAAAACTAAGAGGATGTAATAAATTAGAACTCAAGGTTCTCTGTGTATTTGATTACATTAAAAGTGAGATTAGTGATAGTTTCTCTTAGCGAACTAATATTAACAAAGCCACTAACAAATACACCTGATTCGACATCAGTTCCAACGCTTATTAATAATTAGTCAGTCATTCCTAAACAATGTAGAACCTGGTTTATATGTTCATTGGTTCAAGTTGCAACTTTATATCACCACAATGATATAAAATTGTCAAAGCTCAAGCAGTTAGTTTGTACCTACCTACACGCCTCATTCCAATAATCTATGACTTCATAGACTGACACCTAGTTTTGACCTAACTACCGATAGATACCTTCCACTTTACTCTCATTTTTGTAGGCCTCATTTCGTATTTATCAAACAAATACATAGTAACCAAAAATCAATATATACATCAAATCTATCGTATTATCAACTATTGTCAACGTCGAAGAAATACTTTACATTTACGACTAACATCCCGAATTTATTTAACATTACAAAATAAAATTATTTAACTAACCAAATCAAGGAACAACTGTTCTGGTTTACATATTTACCTACTGATCCCTTAAGAAATTAAAACATTTTAGGATTTCATATTCTATTTCTTGAGAAATTAAGCCATTCCTTGTCCAATCACGTGCATTTATCGTTTTGCTGATTTCTGATTGGCCCACTGCATCAGTTTTAAAAGAATAAATTTTAACAACAGTGAATAACAAGAATGAAATTATGGATTTTGTAAATACAGATCATAAGTTATAACTCAAGAACATCCAAATCTTGTTTACTCTAAAAACGTTCTACCAATGAAGATATCTAAATAATAAGATGAATTTTAACATTGAATCTAATCTACAACTAAATAAACTTTGTTGTATACAGCTTGAAGGCTTGAATGTTTTGGAAAAGATTACATGTACTAACAGTTGTATACCAAATCAGTTAATTGAGGTGTTAGAAATATAAAAAGTGAGAGGTTGCACGTGCTTATTTTACACAGTCTATACATGAACCTCTGAATTGATAAAACTTCATCGATGAACATGTTTATTTATTCTTTCTCCCTTTCGTTCCACTAATTCAACCGAGTAGATTATTTTGAATGATGATTCTGGTGGGCAGCCTAACCAGAATTGATGACATTTTTCATTCGTCTTATTAAAGCTACGCCCCATAGTGTTCTGAGATGAGTTTCAGAAACATCTTTACGCACCCAGTGCAACCTACATCACAAGAGCGGGTGTGCTTATAGATGTACATCTATGTGGCCCAAAGTGGAGGTTTATGCATAACATTACCATAAATGATTGGCTTTATAGAGAAGACAGTATGAGGCTTCGATGAATAAGAATTCTTTCTTATATATTTTGAAATTCGGTTCTTTAAGGTTTTCGCAATAATCTTGCCTATAAACTCAATGTTCACAAATAGAATTATTCTTAGCAATATAGACAATTTCTTAGTTTTCAGTTATGGTCTTAGGTTACTACTAATTAACAAGGTAGGATGTCTATATTTCATCAGTGCTTTATCGAGTTAAAATAGTACTTCATCAACTGTATCATCACTAAATATTTATCTGGCCATATGTTGCACTGTTGCAGATTCAACAACTCAACAGTTGAAGCCTAAACTCTATGTTTAGTAATAACATATACAATCTCTTATAAATATGAATACTTATCATCCACCTTTTAAAGATTAGAGAGATTATATTCAAGCATTTGTTTGAGGCTAAGTCTACGATTTTAATTTTGATAATATGTCCACGTTAATCTTAAAACATCCTGTGAGAAATTTTAGATCATTTGTCTAAAGAAACATTTAAAAATGAATAACTGTTAAGTTAAATAGAATATTCACTACGTAAATGGTGAGACTATAATTTATGAGTGTCCTTTGAGCAACACTAAAGTTACCTTAAGAATACCCACCTATTGACTAGGACTAAATGGGTGTTATAAACCAGTGTGATGAATTAGAATTATGATTTATAGTTGACGATTAGGGTTGGGAATTAGATTCAGGGTTTTCATCACAAACTGATATCAGCCAAAATGCCAAAATACTATTTAGCTAAATAGATGAATGAATTTTGCACCAAAATCCAAGAACTGTTATCTTATATCTGATTGATTCGTTCATAAATTATAGTCTCATCATGTAAACTAATGTAATTTTTTTCATTTTTTTAATATTATTTTATTGTTCTAGATAATAACTAATTTTACATTAGGATTTAGTTATTTTAATACAAATCAATTAAATGCAATTATAATATCACCAATGGTTAATATAATTGGAAAAATTATTAATTCAACATTTGAACAACATTTACATGGTGTAATATATATGGATAATTCAGATAATCTATTTAAATCACAACAATTACGTGAATTTCCTATTGCCTATATGATAAGTTATAATGAATTTCAAAATAATCATGGTTCTTATGTTGTACATTTAAGTTTAACTGAAATATCCAAGTTACAACGTATAGATTTAATATATAATAAATTTTTATATAATCGGTAAGAAATGTTGATTTATTTAGTCGATTTATAATATTTATCTTATAATGTTATCTATTGTAAAATAATAATTATCTTTTAGATATTAATTCACTAGATAAGTGAATAAACCATAGATGTTTGAAGTATAAGATACTAGGTTCGAATCTTGACGTGAATATCAATTTTGGAATGTAGCAGGAAACCATGTATATTTAATTGACGACTCACTCATAGTGTGTAACACTTGTCTTGGTTTCTTCCACTAACCATATTCCATTTATTCTATGTTGAAAAAATACCGTTAATATTGTCTTCAAGTAATATTGTTTTTGTTAGGTCTCGATAAGCATAATGAATGGTAACCTTAGTGATCCATTTATGGATCAATACTATACGTACATTTTTATCGCATAATTGTTCAGTAACTAAACTATTCATATTCATGTCCCTCTTATCATGAGCTTTACTTTAACCTATGAACTATGAATTATACCCTATCTATTAATCACTACCTCCCACGTTCACAGATATATTTGGCCAAATCTTGAACAAATGTTGTTTCCTATTTTATGGTACGATATGGTCTGTTTGATTGGTATATAAACCGAGTATGTTTGAAATACATGATTCATGTTGCAGAGGCTGAGATTGGTGTATTGAACTTAAATGGCTGGCTTGGGCAGAAATCGGGACCGATAAATCTTCTAGACTGCTCATACAGGTTTACGCGTCATTGATCCGATCGATAAGTCACTGCTCTCCAATTGGTGGTATTGTTACGTTATACATTAACAGGGCACACAGATCACAAGTATAACAGTTTCTTAGAATCATATTTACGCCTAAATGCTGTTGCATATTAGTGTAAAGCAATTATATGAAAATGTTTTTTGACAAAAGCAATTAATATGTTTACATTATTAACCGAATCGAAAACTAAGAAGCACTGGATAGCCGTTTTGTCTGAGTCTGAAACTTCTGAACAGTATGCATTCATGGGTTTATTGATGATTGGACGATGATCTGGTCACATGAAGAACATTTGCTTCACAGAAGAGATTACAAAACTTTCAGTAACAATAGTCAACATCAACACTTAATAATAACTCCCAAAGTATTTTTTTCCCCAACAATATATTAAAAATATAACTTGTGATGTCATTAGACACAAGGAATTGAATTTTATGAAATTGGTGAAAAGAAATTAAAAAATTCTTCAATGACATTTATATTTTTACATCACAGACTGACTTCTTGGGGTTTGTAGGTCCTGGATTAAGTCTTTGGTGAGGTCAACTAAGTGAACTATTAAATATTAGCATATTACGCTGAAACAATTGTGTAATGCTTACTAGTTTTCAACTATTATCTAACTAGTTGACTCGTTATTTAACATTACCGAATTTAACGGTCATCACAAACAGACACACTAACAGATCACGAGCAGCTGTTAATTTACTAGTTGACCAAAATATACGTTTTTGAGTCATTATTCAAAAATATTGCTGAATATCAAGGCGATTCTGAAATCATATGAAGGATTTTGATGAATCATGATACGTTTCTATGCGCTTTCTTAGTCTCATTTAACTCACAAGTAAAGCCATCAGTCAGTTAATCATGAGCAACCTAGAACATGGCACGTATGTGCATTGCCTCAAATAACCACTATACATCAATAGTGGATTCATGGAATAATGCAGCATAAGATTTAAACTTAGGATCTAAAAGAAAGTAAAACGTAGAAGTATCACAGCCAACTTCAAGCTATCAGTGAAATAAAAACGTCCAGACTAACAATTCAGACGTACAAATGCATTTAAAATAACTTTTGAATTATAAAAGACTCGTTTTATGACATTGAAAACCAGTCACGCAGAGGTGTTATGAACCTGTGGCGAAACTGATAGGTATATAGCAAACTTAAGAATTTTGGATGGAAAATGATAGAAAGTTAAAAGCGTAAATAAATAACAAAGTAATAAATGTCTCAGTTGGAAATTCAGGCGCTACAACATTTGAAATAAACTTTGTTTACGAAACCAGATTTATATCTATTTTAACATCTTACTTGTAGTATAAACGACAGGTTGAGACTTAATCCAGTATGTTAAGTAATCTTAATATCGGAGGATTTGTGGAGATTGTAGAATTTTCACAGTTCAAACAACGAACTGATCTAAGCTGGACCACGATCGGAAACCTTGAAGGACTGAATGGTCGTTCCTTCTTAGCATGGGACTCTTCAGCAGTGAATCCACGATTCAGCACTCGGGAATCGAGCCCGGGATTTTCAGTCTCGTAGATAAACCTTTGACTTCTAGGCCCCTGAGCCAGCACCTAATCGTGTCAGTACTTAACTTGAATAGGTTCACGATATTGTCTAACTCTAATTTGTAACCCGCGGTTAATAATTGTCTAACGCCTGACGGGAATTGAACTTTTATGATCATAACATCTCATCAGAACTCCAGGAGTTGCATCCTGAAGCTAGTTACCAGCGAGTACATAATTATTATTAGCACCGTTGGCTCACTTCTCAATGGTCAAAAAGTTAACCGTTCACGTGCGAGATTATGAGCGTACTCTGCTAAACTTTCCCATGCTGAGACAAAATGAACATCCAGGACTTCTAGTTTCCCCATGGTGGTCCAGCTAAGATCAGTTCATGTTTTAAAATCTAAAATATTTTTCCTTAAAACTAAACGGATCATTTGAAATATATAATTCATAAGTTTTTATTGTGAATCGGTAACATTTTCAGTGTTCAAATTAAATCGCCATCATTATTGAAACCTCGTTCAACATGTCCTGCTGTTATTGTTATTGGTTCGTCAAATGTACATATATTTCGTAATCATTTATGGAATCCTTACTCTGATATGTAAGTTATTTTTTAAGATATTCATCTACACTAATAAGTTCAATAAAGTCCTAATTTCTAAAAATTCGATGGGCTTAAATTTTCACTATTAATAATATTTCTCAAGAAACTCTTATGATTCACACATTCTTTGACTCGTCAATTCTGATTCTTTAACTAGGTCGGTTACAACCAACGTAGTTGAGTGACAGCACCCGTGATTGTAACACTGTAGATCATAGGATCTGATTCCACGGTTAAAATTAGTCCTATAATGATTATGAATACACCTTACTGACAAGTAATTACTAGTAAGAAATTTGCATTCAGAGCTTCCTATTAAATGATTGAATTCACTTACTATCACACAAAGTATACCACGACATTAAATCATAAAGATAACTGTCACATTACAATTTTATCAGTAAAATGCAATCAATAACTAGTCTGTTTGTCAAAGTTAATTTCTTTCAAGTGATCAATTCATATAAGCATCTAAGTATGCTATCACATTATCATAACAAAAGAATTATTTCATGGGCTTGGCTTAATAAACAAACAACAGAAACTAATAAACAGTGAACATACGTTTCGCATCAGTATGGGAAGATCCAACATTGAGCACCACGATCCCACGAAAGATCAAACCCAAGACATTCAAGTCTCATTAAGAACTCTCAACAAATACACCACTGAGTTTATGTCTAATGGTTTATATTTCTAACTTCCAACAGTTTAGAGAATTAGTTAAACATCAAATAGAGTGGATAGGTGACTATCTCAGAACAGATTTAGTTGAATTCAGTTGATCACGGTCTATGAGCAGAACTCTGGGAATCTCTTTTTCATTCCGGACGGGGTCGTGAATCAACACTATTGGAAAGTTTCATACTACAACAAAACAGACGTTCAATGCTTACTACTTTTCAACGAATATTCGTGAAGTTCACCAGTCTCCACAAATCCCCTAGATTAATAATAAAGCTTTTTCCCCTGATGACACTCTCTTATCTTTGTTTTGCATCTTTATTTAGTGAACTTGCTAGTCATTTATCGTCACCAGATAAACAAATCAACGCTACTTTTAATTATTGGGGCAATTTACAAGATTGGTCTATGAATGATTGGAGTATTGTGCATAAAATTGTATTTAGTAAGATATTCGACCAAAATCATCGGTAAGTTCCTGCTGAATAAAATTTGAACCATTAAAATTATAAAAATTTATATATTAAAATACATTTATTTAAGAGTAGGTGGTATATAAAGTATGAATAGAGATCCATAGTCAGTGGGGAGAAGGCAGTTAAACTAAAAATTGGGAAAACTACTGATTAATAGCATTCAAAGATTATGTAGTTATACCATGAATTGCCTAACTACCACCTACATTGACGAGTGGTTTTAGCTGTAATTTAGCAGTAATTTAGAAGAAAACCATAGGTAGTCAAATCAAAACGTAGTATCTGTGCATGAAACCACCAACTGTTAGTCTAAGTCATGTCAATAGATGAAGACTACCTGGTTGTAGTCAACGAAATCACCTTAATTACTGATTAAAGACGCTGAGTGACATGACTCAGAATTGTTTAAAATCAAGAAAATCCATTCATTCTCAATCTTTTCCTAATTTGTAAATCTCGGTATAGTATCTTATAATAATGTTCAACAGGAAAGTACAATTATCTGGAAAATTGTTTAATTTAAACGTTATACTAATTTATTATTTATATCTTGCTTTAACTAAAATGTATCAAACATGAATTTGAAGGGTTTTGTGGGGACCGAGCTATTTGGGTTACCATCAAGAACCAAGGATAGGGAATAGTATCCCATGAGACTTGAAGTTTGTGAGTTCGGTCCCTGATGCAGTAGTGAATGTAAGTTGCTTTGAAGTCCCTTACCTGAATGAAAAGTCCGTACATTTCTTCCTAGTTTTCTATAGCACCCCAAATCAGATCAATCTATGGTGAATACTAACCCCAGTGTATTCTACGTGTTTTTATAAAATTTTAAAGTTTTTGTCGAATATGAATATAATTTTCATAGATATCACTTAGGGAACTATTGAACTTCAAGCAACACTAATAAAAGTAACTATTGAAATCTCAACTTGGGTGACTCCACTTTGAATACGAAGCTATTCGATTTGATCCCATATTAATTCGATTGTGTACACTAACGCCGATGACTCCAAAAGTGAAATCCGAAAACTGTCAACCAGAGGTATTCGGTTTTCATTGATTCTCAAATTGACGTTCTTTGGTAAGGGAAATTACTTTCAGTTAATGTCTATGCTTCAGTAAACGACAGGTTTTCCTGTCCTTAGATAACGACACTTTGTGGCGTGTGCTGCTTATGCTGACAGATATAAGAGAGAGGGAAATAGGGAGGAATTGAAATATTAAACGAATCGGAAGAATGAAGAAGTATGTATATGTCAACTGAAAGAAGATGTGCAAATAATGTATTTAATGTATTGTCTTCATATTTTATGAAGGCACTCTGTAATTTTTCATTAGATAATAAATTGGTTTTACCCACCTGAGTTCTTGTTTACTATAATAGTTCATAGGATGTCTATTCACTTAAAGTAGTAGCCACATTGAAGCTTGATCGATAGAATTCGATTGACACTAAGAAGAAATTAACATTCTCTATGACCAATCAATTGTAAAAATATCTGATAATTATGATTGTTGTTGTTGTTGTTATGTTTTCTTCAGTTATACACTGGCTAAAATCAACTATCATCCATTACTCAAAGATTTAAATCTAAGAAGTAATTTCATCACTTCAAATGAACCTCCATATATATCAAATTTTATACAGACTACAACATCAATCGATGAACCAATTTATCTTGGCGGTCGAATTCCAATCGAACAAAGCAGAGAAGTGATTTTGAAACCTGTGCAAAATCCGAAAAGTTTTTATCGTGTAACTAAAGATATTTTTATCCCACCTACTGGGCGCCTTATTATTGAACCTGGAGTAAAACTATTCTTCGACTCTGGAGTTGGTTTATTTTCTCAGGTACTGTGTAGAAAATGAGTATAATTTATTATTTTTATCCGTAAGAAATATAATCAAACTATCATTCTTTTATTGTAATCACGAAGCGATCAAAGCTAGCGACCATTAAAATCCTGAATGCACTGGAAAGTTTTTTGTTCAGGTGTGGGACTCCTCACGACTACGAAACATATATATAAGATTGCTTGCCATGTTCATTGTTTCAATAATTACCATTTTTGCTAACTATTTCTCCTATTTCATTGTTTAAATAGGGTGAATTAAAACTGGAAGGAACATTAACGTCTCCAATTATCTTTGATCATTACTCTCAAGTAACATTAAACAATGATGAAATACAAGGGCACTTCATAAATCATGCAAATTTAAATAAATCAATTCCCAATAATACTGTGCGTTTATCTGGCGGTGAATGGTCTAGAAATAATAATACTTACTATGGACGTTTGGAAGTATGGATATCGAGAATTAATCAAATATCCAGTTCAGAATATGGTCATTGGGCTACTGTATGCGAAGATGGTTTTAATGAGCATGCATTAATGTTAGCATGCCTTAACATAGGATTAGTTGCAAATCCAAAAGTCAGTATTTTAATGCTAATATCAAGTGTACATGTTTTAATTGAACAAAAGTTATAATATTATTACAAATAATAATATGTACATGAAATATGAATCTCTTAAGTGTAATAATTAAATGTTTGGTAGATAGATAGATATCTTTACAAGTATTATATATATATATATATTGTTTATGTTTGTTGAACTCTAAGTAAACATGATAAAAATTTTATTTCTACACTAACGATACTCATATATCTGTTAAATTAAATGTGCATTACTGTATATATGATTAAAACATCCAGACAGTTGAATTTAAAGGTTAAGAAACTCAAACGATGTCTAAAGTATATTTTTAGATCTTCTGAAGACCTCAAGGACCTTGAGAATTGATAAGTAGTATATTTAATAGAAACATTGTTGTTAGAACCAAGATCCTTCAAAAAGATTGTCACATATAAGGAAAAATATTCGTAAACTCTACATACATGAGCCAAATTCTAAAAATTTTAATGGACTACATGAAGTACAGTTAACTACATCATGATAATCGTCGATTATTAACTAAAACCATTCTCACTATTACCTTTCTTTGTGTCTCACCACTAACATGGAAACTGATAATAATAAACAATTAATTATTTGACTAGTTATTATGTTTGTTAGTTTGAAATTACAAACCGATCTTAGATAGCCCACTATAGAATACCTGGAAACACTGGATGACCGTTTGAATTCGTGTCCAATTATTTTCAATTAACGTTACAATCAACATCACACAATATGATTACATCCTATTAATATATACTTTGATAAGTTAAACGAGCAGTTTTTTACATACTAGAAGTTCATGTTTTTGTTACAATATACATTGAGTTATATTGTCTGGATTTATTCTGCCTGGTCATGATTAAACATCAAGTTTTTTCGACAATTCATTTTATTTCTATGTCAGCAGCTAATTATCGAGGTGTTTTGTCTCAGCTGCCGTTATTCAGTCCATAATAGAGCTGTTCCTATTAGGATAGCTCAATTGATTCGTAAGTATCATAGGCCAACCGGAAATTACAAAAGGTATGAACCCGGTGATCAAAACTTAGCACAACTAACCAGTAAGCCATGAAGAACAAACACTAATAAGACTGGCCAAATTTCAGTCAAAAATACCAACAACGGGATAATTCAAACCATTTTAAATTTAAAAACAATGACTGTTCAATTAATTAATATAAATTAGTTTTATTACGTATTACATATTTTCTTGGTTTTCTACTGATAAGATATATATTTGTTATAATTTATTTTCTAAAGAGTTGGCTACTACCAATCAGTATACGAGAAGCTACTATTGAAAAAGCAAATAGATTGATGAATAGATCACGATCCTCACTAGGTCATATAACTTATATTGATTGTCAAGGTTATGAAACAGATCTATTTGAATGTGAATACAACTATGAACCGATCGCATATCCATTACAAACATGTATGAATTCTAAGGATCTAGTTATTCAATGTTATCGTCCAGGTTGGAGTGGAATACGTATTACTGCTTCAGATTCTGGATCACGTACAATTATTTCACATGTTCAAATACATCATGCTGGTCTATTAGATTATACACGTTTAGAATATATGCCAAGTTTACAGTTGGATTATTTCAGTGGAACTATAAACAAATTAAAAGTAATTTGTCCATGGATTGTTGTGTCTTATTTTCTTTATAGTTTCGTAAATTATGATATCATCTTTGATTACTTAAAAAATTCAATAGTACTCAAAGTGAACGTTGCATGCTACTCTTACGGAACATTATGATGAGATAAAACATGATCTGAAAAGTCTTGAAATGAACCATATTTGTTTTAAGATTTTGTTTATCTAAGGACCGGTGGACACGAATACTTAACTAATTTAAACCTATTAACCTAAAACAAAAAGGCAACAGTTTATCAATTCCAACCACTAAAATAGAGGTTTGTGTACATCACATTTTGATTTTTTATAACATGAGTTAAAATGATCCTATTACATGACTTGTTCTGTTGCTGGATAATTACTGCAAATATTTCATTTATTTTTTATTGTTATTTATCCAAAAGGATTTTATTTTCCCAAATAACTCTGCAGTGATAAGTCAAACATCATCTTCTAGTTTACCTACTACTCAGTAGAAAATGAAATATTTAGGAAGGGAACAAATTTTTTGATGCTCATTTGTATTGTTCAGAGATATATGCTTTTTATGAAAGATCAATTCACGTTGACAATGGATCTCGAAATGTGTAGACCTCATTACCGAGATATTATTGTTTAAAAATATAGTCTAGATATGGCCTTTTGAATTGTGCTAGTTAGTGGCATAACTTGAATACTGTATGACATCATTCGTCTTCTGATGATTTATTTACATCATCATGGATTCACTGTTGTTCTAGTGATTCCAATCATTTTGTAAGTATTTATTAATCCCAATCGATTACACCGAACGGTATCCCTGTATATTAAACTCGAATTTCCCAGTTTCCATTTCTCGAAAGGTTAGTAGTAAACATCACTAAATTGATATATTGGCCCAATCAGAAATCAAATAAATGAAAAACGCACCTGATTGGCTAAGTAATGGCTTACATACCTAAGAAATAAAACACACCATAAATGGCTCAGTTTCCAAAGGAACAGATATATTTTCAGTCTTTTAACTTAAGTAGCAAGGTCGGGCTCGTGTATGGGAAGATTGCGCATAACATAACATTAATATTAACAAAATAAAATAAGCATTCATCAACTCTTGCTTTTCATCTTATCTCAAATCGATATTAAAATACATGTACTAACGGATTGAAATTAGTCGTTTGTTTAACAAACGCTTTTACCACTAATGCTGAACCAATTAATTAAGTAATAATATTCGTAACATAATCTTAATTAACTAATCAACAAATATTTCATCTTCTAAAGGTAATTACCATCTCAAACTGATATTAGCCGATGAAACACTAGACACTGAATATCACAAGATAGTTGTTTCGTTCTAGCTCAGGACTCTTCAGTTGTGTAAACTAAGGTCAGAATATCGGACCTTCATATTTATTTATTATTTTATTTGTTTATTTGAACACATAAATATTAGTACAAGAAGGCACAAAATGCATATGTGCCACACAAATCTCATTTGATTTGTGTGAGAGCTGTGATACTACTCGGGAGCTCGAACCGAAGCAGGTGGTTTTCTTAGACAGCCACACCAAGAGCCTTCGACCTAAGGGTCTGATCTACAAGGCAGTGGAGAATCGTAAGGAGATGCAGTCCCATGGTAGCCAGTGACCAACGATTGGTTCATACGTCATTTGTTCCTTCAGGATACTGGGGCCGATGCGCACCATTGGTTTGGAATCAGGGTTTTCCAACTCCCCTAGGTGGACTCTCAATGTCCACCAACCCTGTTAAAACGCCGGACATTCGTTTTTCGTCCTCTCAATTTTGTAAACAACACCCGTGGTGCGAGCAGTCAGTGAGTAGGACTTCCCTGGCAGAGGCTAACATTACATTATTATATTTTTTAGATTGGATAGAATTCAGAGGCTTATATTTTTCACATTATTCGGTTTGTGATATAAAACAACTTTTATTTTATGTCATCGATAAATTACTACCTCGTTTCTCGCATAAATGAGTCCATAGTTTAGGTTTTCCCAAGAGAAATTTAGGAAATCTAATATCAAAACTCATCATCAATTTAAACAAAATTATTGATATTATTTGTTGTTTAAATGGTTTAACGAGGATTTTGTGTCATTTGAAGCAAATTCTCATTAGGAAACAGCATCTAAAATCACCAGTTCCTTAAATGTCATCTCGTGGTGGAAATCACCCTCAACTTAATCGATAACACCAAGGATTAGACAAACAAGGCATCGGCTACTATCCCTATACTAATGACACTTGTGTGCTCACTAGTAACTAACTTCAAGGTGTAACTCCTAGAAGCTGCGACTAGTAGAGTTCAATCCATATCTGGTGTGAGAGAGTTATCCACCAGAGGCAATGGATGAAGGGTTGCGCAAGATCATGGATTGATTGAAGTTAGACATTAACACCGTTGGATACCTGTTCAGTGGTCTAGAGGTTAAAGGTTGGCCAGAGACCGAAGGCCCAGGGTTCGAAACTCGAGTGCGGAGTCATGAATTCATATTGCTGGGTCCCACACCAGAACCAATCGGCCGTCCAGTGCATCCGGGTTTTCAATAGTTGTCTAGCTTAGATGGACTCGCGATCTTAGTTGTGAAAACACTACAGTCTCCACAAATTTTCCATACTGATATTCAGCTATTATTCAATGTAGATATTTCAGCCCTACAAGAGGTTGTCACTGTCTGAATGGCTCATTAGTAACAAGTCATTTTGGGTCCGAATTTACTAACGAGTACCAATTTTCTCATGACTTTAGGTATACTTTATTTATGAGTGCCATTTAGTACGAAATCTAGATCAAGAGTGTTGTTAGATCTATTGAAGCGTCTAATTCACCAGATTGGGATACGCGCAAAACCGAAGTTCCAAAACAACGATTTGTCTACAATAGCGGTTTTTTATTGAATAATACACAAAATTTAGTTACAAACCTCAACTTGTGAGGTGTCTGGGGCGTTTAAACGCGTCCTTCAAGTATAAAAATAAAAAGGCTTCCTGTAACAGTAACATAAAGAATAATTGTAACATACGATAGTACAAAGGACAGCTGATAGCTGTGTCTAAATTTGATAACAGTTTATGAACAACCGAAACCCGAACCAATAGCAGAACAATATGGAAAATGTTGCGTTTAAACAAATGCACGAAACTGTGAATAACCACTACAATGATTAAGGCGCAGTAATTATAATGATAAATACAATGATAAGTACAATAAACGTCATAAATATATGTGAATAATTCAGAATAATACACTACAACTTGCGTTACAACATAGGTGTGAAAATTGTTGGGAATACAACTGCTTACTGAATGTAAAGGAGTAGTACAAAATAATATACAAAAGAGTGGAAAGGGAACGAATAGGAACAATGTAAGCAAACTTAACAAGTTTAGTGGCGACTAACTATAACCACTCAACATCATCAAAGTGATATGAATTACTTAGCATGAAACAGTACAAATAACATGGTTTTACGATTCCGTTTGTAAAAGGATATTGTGATAGATTTCTCAAAAAACCAAAGATTCCTGCATTAATGAATTACATAAGGTTATATTTATAGAACACATTACTTATATAGGCATAATCTTTAAAAATTTGCATCATTCTGGTTATGAATGATTAGGAGCCCTTGATACTTCATCAAATAGTTTTTTCACTAACCAGGAAAATGCTGAAAATCATTATTCTTCAGAATCATTCAAGAGATTTCTGGAAACATCGGAATATGTTTTCATTACCAGCATTGTACAATTATTGTGTTATCAATTTTTTCATGTACTGCGAAATCATTTAGGTCTCAGGATCAAATATACTTCTAAAAATAACAATTGTTTTCTGTAAATAAGGTAACCTTTAAATTAAATCTCCTTCCACACTTTCCTCTTGTTTTTTTCTTCAGAGTTATTATTATTATAAGCTTTATTCAGCATTATATTTTTGCTACAATATAGAATTCCCAGCATAAAGTATTTCAACAAGTTTCCTTTTCTTATATCTCGATCGATTTTGACGATAAATATTGAGTGATGGCCAGTTAGATGTTAGGAGTTTGGTAATCGACATCTGAATAATGTTCATTCGTTTCAATGCATATTGTCAGCCACCATGATGTCGCTGGTTGTACCTTTTTGTAACCCATACAGCGAAAGGTTGTAAACTTTTCATAAACGCGCAAGAAAACAGATAACTTGACGAAATGTCTAGAGAGAAGGAACAGGTAGCCCAGATATTCAAGCAGGCCGCCGATTGACTAGAAAAATTCTATAGACTAAGAAGTGGTGTAAAATTGTTGGTTATGCGTTTAAGCAAAATATTTATCATTTATACACTAAATAAACATTGTTTATTGACTATTGCATAAATGTCAAATCAGTTAATAAACATTTATAGTCAACTGTCTAACAAACTTGTAAATTTTTTTCGAACTCAGTATTAAAATAAAAATAATGAATACAATTAAATTTGAACTTGATGACTACAATAATTTACAATATTCTTATTTATCTTATTATAATCTTATACTGTTTGACATTTTTCTTTATCAATAGTTGAAATCATGAGTCAATTGAAGTTAGACCACTATCGAAAACCTGGAAGCACTGGACAGCTGTTTCGTCCTAGTATGGGACTTCTCAGCAGTGCGCATCCACGATACCGCCCCCCAGCGAGATTCGAGTCCCATACTAGGACAAAACGGCCGTTCAGTGCTTCCACGTTTTCCATGGTAGTCTAGCTTCAATTGACTAATGATTTCATCAATTGAAGTTACTAAAATCTCCACAAAACCCCTTCTGATTTTTCTTTATATTTATTTAATAGATTACTGATAGTTTATCCAATGGTCTTGTAATATTATATAGTAATCCATTATTGGGTACAAAAATTATCAATAGTCAATTTATAGATAATTTCGAATCAGGATTATTAACTTATACACCATGGTTTAGTTTAATTAATTGTCATATAACAAAAAGTCAAATAAATTCTGGATTACAATATAATAGAATAATGACAGTTGAACAAAGATTTGCATTTCATGCAGGCATAGTACCTACTCTAACTTTATTTCATAATATTGAAGAGAATTCAAATAAATTTACTACAACACGTGTTTCATTGCCTGACGGATGGAGTTTAGTGGAAACTTATGAAAAATTATCACCGAATGGTATTATATTTGTTAATGTACCTGTGGGCAAAAGTATGGAAAAAGTAAGTTTCATCTATTACAGAAATAATAAAGAAAATTTTTAGTCCGTTTGATCTTAAACCCTTTGGAATATGTTCTTTGAATCGGACGTAGGCTCTCCTTTCTGTTGTATCAATGTAACTGCAGATACATACCACCAACTGTGTATACAAATTTACATGTATCTGCCAAAGCAGTCACATTGGTAGAACAGAAAGGAGAGCCTACGTCCGATTCAAATAAAAATTTTTGTTATACAATGTTGAGCTGTTCAATAAACACAGGAATTGAACAACTGACATTGTTTAGTTATGAATAGAAAAAAGACAAATGATCAACTATAATTTACTTAAGCGTCCAATATGTAGTCAATTTAAATTTGGTGACCTTTTATTCAGCTACAAATTGTAATTAAACAATTTAGTGACGATAGAAACTTGAAATAGTGACGAGGAATCTGAACATATTTACCATCCTAAGACCGAACAGATGTCCAATGATCCCTAGTTTTCAGTGGCACCAGAAATGAGATAAATCTGTGATGAACATCTTGTGAAATCGTTTGGTAAATAATTCACTTCTTTATAAATGAGCCCAGCTGAAAAGTGAATTGTACTTATCCAATTTATTTTCGCTAATGGATTTAAGTTTAGAAAACTAATGATGAACCCTTGCCAACTCATAGATATTGCTTATAGGAAAACAGCTCAACTATTCTATTTCCATTGAATCCTAGTAATCAGTTGTTTGATAATTCAATCTGTAAGTTTATTATGTACTAATAAGCACTATTTTTCAGGGTCATTTTTGAGAACTACTAAAGAATTATCACTCTCGAAGAAGTGGAATCAAGGAATCGATACACTTTGATCTCATGATTTATGATATTTACCCATAGATCACATGTTTTCATTTAAAAAATAAGTAAAGAAAATAACCGGATAGTTGTTTTTGTCCTAACTTTGAACTCTTCCCCATTAAATACCTATGACCTTCATGTTGCTTAATGGGCACAAAGATTAAGAAACAATTAATGAGGCAGTGCTTAATATTAGCATATGATGATATCGCTCACATTAAAGCAGAACAGCTATTCAGTATTACAAGCAAAGATGGATAGTGGCTAGCAGTGGAATCCAGGAAGATACATGCAAACAACACGAAATGAAGCTACTCAGTATTCCCCAATTCTCATTGGTTCTTTGAACAACATCTGTTTATGACATAAATCACTTTCTGAGTCACTACAGAAAAACAATTCGTTTTCAAAAGCATTTCATTTAGCCCAATGAAACTCATCATTCCCCTCTGTAACTCAGATTCTAATTACCATAAAGATTAACAATCAGTGACTACTTAACAGTTGGACAATCGCTAGCAGTATCATTTCAGACATGCATGCCGTTCTATATGGAACTCGTCAACTGGATACACCTGCACTCAGGTGTTAATATCCACATTCAAACTCAAACCCAACACTTTTAGCCTCAAATGTTTAACGCGTGATTCATTAAGCTAATGAGTTCACTTAGCCACTGATTTGTTGAACTCGTATAATATAAGCATCATTGTTACAAAGGGTTTGATTGATTATTTGATTTCTGAGTTGATCTCTTCTTTTAATGATCAATACTTTAATTTCCTCATTTTTTTAGCATCCTAGCTAATTTCATATTCAGTGTTCTCCTATTGACCCACTACATGTATTGTTTTTCTTTCTTACTTCTTTTCCATTTCAAATAATTGATAAATATCAGACTATTTATAGGACTGAATTATCAATTGATGATGCATATCATTTCCACCAAATTATTATTGATCTGTTAGAATTCCCTGGCAGTGTCAAATTACCAACAAGTCAACAACAAGCAGTAAATTATCCTAAAGCATGTATAGGTCCTTCCATAACATTAAACAATTCAATTCTACCAGCCATTCATTATAGCAATAACAATTGTAATAGATTAAACAAATTACATTGTATTAATACAACAACCATAACAAAAGAAGAGTTAATTATTTATGATTCTGGATTTGTTAATTTCAATCCAATTCAAGTGTATAATTGGCGTATACCAAAAGATTTAATTCGTTTACCATTGATTTCGTCAACAAATAAATTAATTATGGAACTTCGTGTAGACGGTCTAAAATCTGGTCAATTTTTATTTAGTATTCAAGTGAGAAATTTATTTAATCAACATAAAAATTACCAAATGAATAGTTATACTGATGATTATTTAACTACGACTGCTACCTCTTGGAAAAGTTCTCATTATGATCATTTAAATGTTCACTATTCATTAAAACCAAAATTTCATGTAAAAAATACTACATTAGAAGATAATCTGATCGGTGTTAAGTTATATCATTATAGTGATCCAATGGATGGACAAAATAATCATTTTTGGCGAAATGAACATGAAACGTTTATTTTTGATAATGTTAAAATAAGGTAAGAAGTATAATACAGTTACCGACATTAGTAATAATAATAAGACTATTGCTACATGTACAACTACTACTACGAACCTATTCTTTATAACAGAAGGGTTTTGTGGATATTATGGTAATTTTAATGGTTGAGATCATGAGTCAATTAAAGCTAGATACCCATGGAAAACCTGGAAGCACTGGACGGCTGTTTCGTCCTATTGTGGGACTCCTTAACAGTGCGCACCTACGACCTTGCCTCGACAGATTCGAACTCAGGATCTATCGGTCTCGTGCGCATACGCTTGACCACTAGACCACTGAGCCGGCCAGCATCCATTTGTGTTAATGTCTAACTTCAACTAATCCACGAAATTGAGCGACACATCCATCATTGTCCCCAATGACTTACTATCTCACAACAGACCTGATCGAACTCCACTGATCTCAACTATTAAATTACTATAATCTCCACAAAACCCTTCTGATATGAATCAACATATGCTCACTAGTGACTGGCTTCAAGAGGTATTTCCTGGAGTTCTAGTGAGAAGCAGTGACAAGTGGAGTTAAACCAGGTTTATTGTGAGATATTAACTCACTGAAGACAATGGTGGATGTGTTGCTCAATTTCGTGGATTAGTTGAAGTTAGACATTAACACAAATGGATGCTGGCCGGTTCAGTGGTCTAGTGGTCAAGCGTATGCGCACGAGGCCGATAGATCCTGAGTTCGAATCTCTCGAGGCGAGGTCGTAGGTGCGCACTGTTAAGGAGTCCCACAATAGGACGAAACAGCCGTTAAGTGCTTCCAGGTTTTCCATGGGTATCTAGCTTTAATTGACTCATGATCTCAACCATTGAAATATTCTTTATAAGTAGTTCTTTTTGAATTTTGTTAACCGACTCATCAGTATTTGATTATTAATCATGAAACATATTATTTAGTTAGTCATTTTGCAGAGATTGAACCATTGGATTATAACTATCCAGTTTGAATATAATGTGCTAATGGAAAGAACTGAACGTTCTGGATTCTAACATATGAATTGTTTCAAACTAAAAAGGAAACGTCGTTCTCACAGAATACGAACAATGAGCTAGAGATCGTTGTACCTAAATTTCATGAGTCTTGATATTTATTCTGAAAATAATATCAGCCGGTATATTATATCACAAACTAATGTAATCCGAAATGATTAGATATCCATTTTGTCCTCGAACGAGATTCTTTAGCAATACAAACCCATGATCATTCGGTCTTGCAGTGATTGAGTTTAAAACTAATTATAGACAATAATTAACTTCAATGAGTCTAAGATATAGTGGAGTTCTTATTAAAAAATGGTGACATGGTCCCTACCAGACCAAGCAAAAGTCCTGAATTCAGGCTCGTTCGAAATTGACCGTTAGCACTCAGAAAAATATTGCGATTCAAGACCACGATTTTCAATATTCAAGAAAATTATCATCAAATCATATTGGTATACAGCCATAATATTGAAATAATTACCGAGGAATTGTTGATCTCTTAACTAACCTAAAGAATGAAGCAATTTGGGTGTACTATATTTGTTTTATAAATGACGTATAAAGATTCCATATGAATTATAGCGTTGTACTATTTTCCCAGATATGTTAATCATTAAGCTATGCATGAGAATTCTATTAAGACAGTGTTGTCTCTTCAAAATTCAATTTCATTATATTCGAAAATAATGAATTTTATCGGCTCACAAAATAAAATTCATAAGTTTATTGAAATCAATGACCAGTTTTCTTTAAGTAAAATTGTAACGATGATTATCAATACATTCACTTATTTGTTAATCATACCCTTGATTTAGGCCTTCAACAGTAAGGATGTAAGAAAAAATGCTTTGTCGTCAACAGCATATAAAGACTGACTTCTATTCCATTTTCTCTTAGATTTGTCCACTTGAAGTATTGAGTTTGCACTCCAGACAACATCTTCAAAAATATGTTGACAGGTTAATAACTTAATCATGATACTTCTATACAGCCTAAGACTTCCTACACTGGAAAACTTCTAAACAAATAAAACGAATTATGCATTCCTTCTGTCGGCTATTGCATAATTATAGGAAAAATGATTCTGTTATTGTGGATCTACTTTTTGATATGATAATCCTGGAAAGAAAACTTATTAAAAAGGCTTTTAATTAAAACCAAATATGTTTACGTTACTTAGTATACCCTAACAAGATAGTTCAAATGATCTCATAGGACTTTAGGAAACATTCTCCATATTACACCTTTTACAATTCTCATCGCATCATCTTATACTGTACTGTGCAACCAACTTTCAGAGTCATTAGTAAGCAGCTGTCTAAGAAACGATATGACTGAAATCCATGGGTCATAACTTACTACTGGAACTCTAGGACTTACCTCTTAAAGTTATTCACCACTGAGCGCATGATTCGTGATGTCAACTATTAGATTCAACAGCCTCCACAAATCGCTAACACTAACTATGTCCATGTACTCCCTAAAGACTAATTTCTCGAGGCAGTTACTGGACGTCTAGTGAGGAGCTGTGACTAGTCGAGTTTAGCTATGTATTGTCCGAGGGAGTTACTCACGAATAGGATTGAAAGATGATTGTGCAATACTGTAGATTAGTTAAAGTTAGAAATGAAAATCACTGGATGCCAACTTAATGATCTAAAGATTGAGAGTTCTTCTCGAGGGTCATGGATGAGCACTAACGAATAAATACATAATACAACAGAAGGCTGTCCAGTACTCTCTACTTTTTGATCCCTGCCTAACTCAAGTTACTCCATGATGTATATTGTAGAATTCAACAGTTTCTATGAGACTCCTACACTAGTAGAAATCATTTTCTATCATATCTGAATTCATAAATTCTAAATGATAACATGTGAGTCTTTATTTATGTGGCTTAACTAACTATAAATGAATCAGTTCACATCAACCAGTCGAATTGCCAAATAGTCACTTTCATCGGATTATTACTAAAGATGTTTCATATTATCCTGACAAAACTAAACTCTAATTTTTTAAACCACTAATAAATCTACCATAACATTTATTTCTTAATCCTTATCGATACGAATGTCAACATTTTAGAAACAATCTGTATACAGGAATGAATATACTATCAGTAACACAATTCACTAATAACTGGTTTCATCCGAATTACAAAGAATTTAGACAATCTGTTGAACATCTTTCATTCATCAACTATAATATTACAAATTGTGAATTCGCTTATAATAATTATGGAAGTTTACTAGTTGAACATAATCCTATTGAATATTCAAATAACATTTGGTCTTATCACATAATTAATAATAAATTCATTGAAAATGGATTAGTCAACAATGAGATAAACATGGTACATTCATTCCCCTTCTCATCATCATCATCATCATTCCCGATGTTCGAAACTTTTCAACATGGCTTACAATTTTATATACCATTTATCTCCAATGAATTTAATTGGCGTTATGAATCTGGTATTATTAGCCATCAAATTTCATTATTACATAATCAGTTCAATTTTAATAAGAATTTCCATTTACAAATTTCTGGTTATACAGCAAAATTAAAAATTGAAAATAATCAATTTTTGGAGAATTATTGTCAAAATGTTTTACTTGGAGAAAAACAAATATCAGAAAATGGACTAGTACAATCGTGTGGTATGGAACGTGAAATCATCTTGTCAGATAATTATTTCTTACGTAATAAAAATTGTTCATATATTATTCAACTAAAAGGTGAAAGCCAGTCACGTGATTTGGTCACGCTTCAATCTTTTATGAAGAAAAATATCCTTCAAGATAATGATATATGTATGAATACTGAGAAAAGATTTCAATTTATTAACCCATGGGAATGTTATACAATGGGAGTTTTCGGTACACAAAATATTACTATCAGGCATAATAGCTTTGAGAATTGTAAGGTAAGTTGACAAACAAGCTGAATACACTGAATTGACTTAAAAAAGGATGCAATAACTGAATTTGGGTATTCTTTTTTAAGAAGAAGTTGTATATGTTTATGATTTAGCCATCAAGAAACTAGTAACCAGACTAAACATCCAGAAGACGTCATGAAGATACCAAGGAGTCTATCCATTTATCTCTTTGTTGATTACTTAGTAATAATATGTCTTTTTAATTCTTAATTGTTATTGAATTCCATTTTATCATAGTAGCATTGTGGCCTGAATAGATCAGATAAGATTTGTATATTTAAAAGATCTATCAGAATTTATCAATTTGTCACCTTTATGTTGAATTAAGGATATAATGCTGATATCTCATTTTTAAACACCTTAGTGACATGAAAGTTGGATGGAACTACAAAAAAACCCAAGTAGAGAATTAATATCAGTTGGTCAGTGCATTCATTTTTTACAGTCCCATACCATTTACGTACTAGAGAAACCTGGCTAAGAGTTGAACATATTGTGCCAAACTTATTTCCTCCGATGACATCATCAAAGAAGAGTTAATTATCATCCTTAACTTAGCAGAAACACAAATACGTTAAGACTTGTCAATGAATAAATGATTCAAGTTGGTAGGAAGTCAGGCTTTACAACTGCATTTAAGAATCCTAAATATTCCTGAATCTATAGTCATTCAATGACCTTGTCAGTGTACTAAGAACTCAATGAAACAGAAAAGCTCCGCCAAAAACATTTGTTTGAGCCAGGATACATGACCTTTTGTCAGAATAAGAAATAATGATGGACTTTCTAAATTTACCTTATCTACCTACACTGCTCCTGCGGACCACCAAATTTCCAAACACTAACCTTCCCTGATGAATAAGGGACTGTTCAAGTTAATTAACTGCTCCATACTTGCTCACTTACTTGATACAGGATATCTAGTAGAGTTCAATAAACCCTTTGAAATGATCGAAGATTTCTACTACCCAACAACAATGGATATATTCCCACTGAATGCCAGTATATGCACATTTACACACGGAGAATAATCACTTAAAAAATATCAGAAAATCAGTAACATTCTTTAACCAATAAAAACTGTAAATAAGCTTTGGAAAGATTTTAACCCTGGATACCAACAACAAGAAACTGCAAACTTATACTAAAACAGTCATACCTAATGAGCAAGTTAGTTCTTGTCTGAACTCACTACCTCAGTAGATAACGATATGGGTGTTTACAGCAAAACATATTGAATCGAAGTCTCAGTGTATGTATTGATACCGAGATGCGGTATATCCAGCTAAAAATTCATGAATAGGACAAAACTCATGTCCTGCATGGCACTGCTAATTAAGTACAAAACATATTTAGAAAGGTCAATTTTTTTAAAAATCTTCCAGTAGCGAGAATTAGTACTGACTGATTTAAAAAGTAGCTCTTAGTTCAATCAAATAGCAAATAATGAAAGGTTAGTACTATTAAGTCTTTTGAGTACAATCACTGAGACTCGTGATAAACGATTTACTGATCGGATAAAGATACAACCTTATCGACGTAAAAATTTCTGTAAAACAGTCCATTAGATTGTGTACGTTTTTCATAACATACATTTCACTCTGACTAATAACACTTCTCCCATTAAATTTAATCCATAATTATAGTCTATTTCAGTCGACAGTCATCCATGTTATGAATTAATTGCCAGTATACAATCTATACAGATCCCAAATTTCTTAGATGCTCAACAAAATTATTGGGCTAGTTCAAATATAACAGAAATACGTCAACATCTATTTGATTTTAATCAATGGAATAGCTTTTCTTTAATAAATTTCAATAATTATTTAACTTCATTTCATGTAAGTATCCACTTTGTTTTTGTCGTGTATATGAAATTTCTCAAGTTCTTGATTATTTGTTTATCACCATTAATAAAGATCTAAAACCGCATGATAACGATAAATTTTTCCTTATTGAATAAGGGTCATAATAATACTTTCACACTGTTTTAAAACAGCGACTCAAGAAAGTGATATGATCTGTGTCTTAACTCTGATTACAAACAAAATATATCTCATTGGTCATTATTTGTTAAAGTTGGGTTTAGAAACTGATATGAGACAGTGATAAGAATGATCAAATGGCTTGCATACCATGACACTTTAACGACGACGAGTGCATACGAGTAAGGCGAAAGAAAATGGAAAGATTCATGAAAGTATTGATGTCTTAAATACAAATAATGAACTAAATACAAAGTGCCGTAGCAGACAAAGCAACAAATAGAAAATGGGTGTCATTCATGTGACATTATTACGTCACAACATTTATCACAACAATTTTTACCTCAGCAACTTCAACAGATCAATAGTATTGTTTGGTTTGGATCAACCCCATAATCAATTAGTAAACAACTCGAGTAGACGGTCTAAAATGGTAACTGGATTAAACGTCCCAATATTGAAAGATATCTATCTACAAATAATTATTATTAACACCGTTGGATGCCGGCTCAGTGGTCTGGTTGGTTAAGCGCCTGGCGCGAGACTGATAGGTCCTGGGTTCGAGTCCCGTGGGGTGCGAGATCGTGGATGTGCACTGCTGAGGAGTCCCATACTATGTAACGAGAAAGATTCACTATCTACCAGCTCTAACCACCAAATATTCATAATTATTTGTGATCATTATAGTGATAATTGAAAAAAATAAAATCGTGACAAATCAGAAATAATTATATGTAAAAATAAAAAGGTTGGACATGACAGTTTCAAATGAATTGAGAATTTGGTTGAAAGTTAATAATGAATATATTATTATTTTATATCCCAATGGGTAGAAAAATTGTATTTCTAGCGTTTCATGACTTAGTGTAAGCCACTTCTTTAGAATAAGTAAAAATATGGCTTGCACTAAGTCACGAAACGTCAGAAATGCAATTTCTCCACTCATTGGAATATTTAAAAAAATATATTTGTTATTGCGGTGTGTGCTACTGATATCGATAGATATAAGTAGTATGCATCATCAATCGAAAGTGAAATACCAGGCGGCAGAAGGTTAAGAAGATCAAAGAAAAGAGGACGAGAACAGAGAATGACTACTGTAAAAACGAATGAACAATGAAGTCTGAGACGATTGAATGATATTTTGCAAAGCAAGTATTTATTGTTTCGTTCTCAGATTTTACTAAGGGATTCTGTAATCTTATGTTCAAATACATTCGGTTGTCCCCACTTGTGCTCTCATTCAGTACATTATTATCAGAAGTAATTATATTTATTCCTATGAACAAATGCATTCTTTTGTATAACATTTTTAGCCTATCACTAATCATTTATCACTGAAACTTTCAATGCCTACTAAAATGAATCCACTAAATGCGGAAGAAATCTTGAATGGTCGAATAGAAAGCGATCTATTTGTTCCAAGCCGTTTAAAACCTTATAGAGTAAGTATATAAACTATATTGACGGGTGCAAGTGTTTTGGATTTGGAATTTTTTAGTTAAAAAATAGAGTATCCTTGATCTTTTACGTAAGAGCTTTTACTTTCAGCGTGAAATAATTCAGATTTTTACAAAACACGATGATATTACTCGAGATGGTGAAGAAGATTTGCAGCTTAAAGGATGGCTTTTGAAAAGTTCAGCTCCCTGATTTAATTGATCTAATCATGATCCTTTCATTATCCATCCAGGCAACATCTGGATAAAATTTAAATCATTCAAATCGGAGATGATATTAAAGAGTGTCACCATTTGGTCTCTGATCATATTGTAAAGTAGGCTAGCATCGGGACCGAAAAAGAAAATTTCGTTACAATTAGAACTCTAACTCTTTTAGCAAACTTACTCGTGTTTTGATATTTTCGACATAACATGAATTCAGTATAACAAGCCCCAAGAGACTGACCATAATCCAGTTAGTCAACAGAACATTTAGAGATTTAAATTCATAATAATAACTAGATTTCATCCGAAATAATTGTCGCAGTAGTTTGGAAAATAATTTACTATCATTGAACATTATATTTAATTTTTAAAAATTAAAATATCTACATAAATAGTTATTGGTGTTAGTGGGACATAGATTGGATTTAAGCATGCTCAATGCACGATTGCTTTGGCGCACGCTGATTGGCTGATTCTTATCCAATCAGCGCTAGTCGATACATGGAGAAGATTCTAGATTCTTCTTATGTAAAAACTACAAATATACTAACGGTTTTCCTATTGTGCTTCTTGCTTCCATTTAACCTTGTTATTTGGAATATAATCTCCTTCCTGCTCAACCGTGTTCTGATTTGGGGCCTTGTCGAGTGAATCTGTGTCCGTGAATACTAAGCAATAGGAATAGCTGGGTTATAACCGTAAGAGCGAAAATATAACAGAAGGCTTATTCAGTTTACAAGTGTTTCACACTATAAACAGATATCAGTTATAGAAACGCACTCGGTAGTCTAATGTTTCAACCTAATCAACCAACGACATTGAGCAACCGCCTTCGGTGGGTAATTGTCTCACATGTTACCAGGTTTAGGTTCACTGGTCAAGGCTAATCATTGGATCAAAGGTCCTAGGTTCGATTCCTTTGCGTGGATGCACACCGCTGAGTGGGCCGAAACGGCCACTCATCGCTTCCAACTTATAAATGGTAGTCTAACTTAGGTTGGCTCATTATTTCAATGAACTTAACATTATCTTTGATTTTAATCTAAGATTAAAAGTATTTCAACAGCACAATAATTATGTTGTTTCCATTTACAGATCATGTCAGATATTACTGTAATGCCTGGAGTAGAACTTCAAATTGAAGCTGGTGTAAAATTTGAATTCGCTCCACACATTGGTTTATTGGTTCTTGGTCGAATAGAAGCACGTGGAACACATGATAACCCTATAATTTTTACATCTATAAATAATTCTCAATTGGAAAATAATCAATTTAATTCAATGATAAAATCGAATTTAATGTCCACAAAATTTAGAAAACCTAACATTGTGAACACTAATAATAATCATAAACCAACAACGGAGACTTATTTATCAGTTGGTAGGATAACTCTATCGACAGAAAATGTTAGATTAATAGGTGGTGAACAGGTAGATAACAGGTTGATTGTTCTCACTTCAACTTTAACTGATCATATTATTTTCAATTTAATTAAAAATGTTATCGTAATTCCGAAAGTTTTTTGCTAATTCACAAAGTAGATTCTTCAGTGTACATTCCTTGTTCCATAGTTTACAGGCCAGTCGCAAAATAATCATTGACCTTGAAGTACAATAAATCTTAAGCTAGACATGGAAAATTAAATAAACGTCCTGTATTGTTTACTAGATACTTCATGATTAAATAGTATTTTGAAGGAAGTACAGTATTCACCACTGAAAATACAAACTCAACTTAGCACAGTACCACTGTTGTTACTGTTTTTTTTCAGAATAAACAACATTCAATCACCCAACTGAATAATGCCATTAAAACTCTCCAACCCTCAATAATTTTAATTTCTAGGAAATAAGGACTCCATAGTTTGGGACAATAGGTGGATATTACTGAAACTAACTTTTCTACTACTCGTTTAATACGTATTTATCGGTTGGCATATTTTTTTAAACCACTCTCATCCTCTGAAAGGAAGCAGTATTGGTGAAGATGCTGGTTGTCTGGGGTAATAATATCTTATTGCAGTCACAACCCATTAAAGTTGGCAGTAAATCAACTCACTTGAACGATAAGTTGCTGCCTTTAGTCCTGCCTTTTTTTAACCAACCTACCTGGTATGTTAGGATCTAGCTTAACTATGATATCAGGGAAGTAATTCATGAATGTAAACAAACCCAGAGAATGAATCATACAACATTGAATACAACTCAGCAATATTTCCGTTCTTCAGCATGTCATTCGTAACTTAAAATAGCTCAATCACAGCTTTTCGAATTATACAAGTTAAAATCAATGAGGAGGTAGCAGTTCTCCTATTAATCCGAATACCTCTAGTATGTGAGTACCAGTCAGCACAAAACCTAACCTTAATTCTCCTCGGTTATGAGACTGGCCTACAGTTAAATCTAATTACCAAGAAAATTGCTTAGAAAGTTAATTATAAAAAGTTTTTAATACTGGTCTCTTATAACTATATTATATCAGTAAAATGTTAGCATACATCTTATTACACATGGATGAAGACCTAATCATCAACTTACTCGTCATTCAAAACCCCACATATTTATTGATTACTTTATAAAGTGAAAGCATCTGATCATTTAGATAAGAATGATAAGGATAGACCATATCGGTTTGATAACTAAAAACAACCACCAAACATATTTCACACCAAAAGCCATCAGCTTTATTACTTGACTGGATCACTCATTTATCAAATCTATGTCGTAAAACAACACCACAGTTAGTGTTCGTGTGTGTGTGTGTGTGTGTGTTAGAATGAAATATTCCTTGGTTCTCCTTAAAACAAATTTGTTGGATTGTGAATCAGGTGGTTAACTTCCTGCTAGTATAAATTATTAACAGATACAGGATACTATTTAGGAACTCGACAAATAATAATTAACTTCTTATGATTAAATCAAGAAGCATGAACTGTTTAATAATAGGCTTTTAATTTTATGAAAAATCTGAACAAAATTCTAATTACTAATATCCAGTGATTGGAATTTATAAATTTTCTACATAACCAAAGATTAAGTTCATCCTTGTCAGGATTGAAATAGTCACCAATGTTGATATTAGATGACTATTGTGTTACATCATGAGTTGAATAAAGTTAAAAATGTAAGCCATTAGATTCTAAATTGAAAGTCTAAACATAACTCACTTATCTTAATGCCTGATAGTCTAAGAACTGATGCTTCACTAACTCATGGTCAGCGTTTTTTTAGCGAGTTAGTTTTCAACGGGATAGTTTTGCTAACCCTATGCCCAAACCTCCTCCTTTACCTGGGCTTGGGACCGGCCGTAACTCTAGAAGAGCTACAGACGGAGTTCACTAGCTCCAAAGTGTACATAAATAATGATAGTCTCTTTTCCAATTTAAATTTATTTTAATCTATAAAAAAATTTAATTAATTTATTGTTTTATTTGTTATTTTTATTGTTAGCCTAACGAAGGGTTTGTTCAATTTTTTAATTATTCAACCAAAAATTGGTATATTGCTTGTGATAAACAATTCTCTACACGTGTAGCTCAAGTAAACAAAATGGAATTTTTCAATTTAACATTTATTCACCTTTATTTCTAATGAAAACATTTGAAAATACTTTTTGTATGTTGAAAAATGATAACTAACCGATGTGATTAAATTCAGGTTTTGCTATACTTTGATCTAATTGAAGTTGAAACTATAGAGTGATGAGTATTTGACTACTATTTGGTTCAATAGCATCATTGTTGTTACATAACTTAATAGTTATCAGTCTTATACCGTGCATGGTTGTGAATGAAGCCTCCTGAGAAATTTCCAACTAGAATCACAACAATACAATCCTCATTGATTGTTCATTGATTCTCTGATTGATGTTCATTTTCAATGAAAGTCACCTTCATAGAAATCAGTTACCTTGCTTTTCAATGATTTTCTGTGTTTTTTTAGATCGTGACAACAGCTTTATTTGAAATAAACCCAGTATAAAAATAATTGATAAGAAAGAAATTCTCCATCCTATACTGATGTGTATAAGAGTATGTAAACAAATATACCTTAGAATTTCTTTCCAATGTAGTCAAAATTCTATCTCCAGATTCTACCAGATCTTGTTGTACAATACTAATACTAATACTAATAATAATAATAATAATAATAATAATAATAATAATAATAATTGGTTGAGGTTAGACATTAATACCATTGCATGCCGGCTCAGTGGTCCAGTAGATTAAGCGTTTGCGCGCGAGACTGAAGGTCCTGGGTTGTAGTCCCGCGAGCGGGGTCGTGGATGCGCACTGATGAGGAGTCCCACAATAGGACGAACGGCCGTCCAGTGCTTCCAGGTTTTCCATGGTGGTCTAACATCAATCGGTTCATGATCTCAACCAAAAAATAATAATAAGGTTTATGCATCATTTAGAATCGTGATAATTATCTTATAAAAACGTATTGAACCAATATCTTAATTTTATTGTAAAGCACTTTGACTGACCAAATGACCATTCAATATAATACAGCTATTTAATGAATTCAATTTTTAAAAACCATCAAATTTTCTTAAATTAAAAACTGTACTAAAAAGTTATAAGAAAGAAATGTTAGCTATTGAATGCTGACTCGTTGGTTTAAGGGTTAAGGACTCTTTGGGATACTTAAGGGTGGAGTAGAGTAGTTTTCTAGAATGAAACAAATATTCTGAGTTTATTAGCTTTCAATCGTTGTTAAACCAAAGTTAGTCCATAATGTAAACTAACATGATAAGCAAACTATCATTTAATATAAACTTTTCTCATTATGTACATCATTTAATTATTTACACAATCATATTATGTAAAAACAATTTAAATAATTCACTAAAATATATCGCATAGAAACAAAGTTTATTATCATAGAAAGCATGTGGAAGTTCTTCAACTTGAATATTATCCTAATTTACTGATTAATGTTCACTAGATAATCGTTCTTTTGGAAGTTAACTAATTTCTACATTCTTTGAAATATGAAATTCATCTGTCTACAAGTAACTTACTTTAACAAAAAAGTTTTTATGTTCTAATGAGAAGATATGACAGACCGATGAAGTTTAACATCATTTTTGGGGTAAAATAAGTATTGCCGATAACTTCTAACGATTACCACGGGTCATTGTGAATTGATCAAAGTTTGATTTCAGAACCAATGGATCCTAACTTAATCATCTGAAGATAACTCACCCATAGTCGAGGGATGTAATCCTTGACGATGGTATTGTGGATCCTCACTGCTCAGTAATTCCGTACTCTAATAAACACTTATCCGGTCCTTCCTTATTTTTAATTGTTTTTTTTATTTAGTTGGTCTGTGATGTAAATTACAGGAAGAAACTTAACACTATTAAATGCCAAAGTGTAAATGTATGAAATCTTTCTACTTTATTTACCTCAATGTGTACAGCTATATGTCTTTCTTGTTTTAATTTATTTCTTACTCAGATATATCCTTGAATATACATTGATGTAACGAATCTGTGTTCTTTTTTATCCTTCAAGGTAGTTTGTTCCGAGTTCAATGTATCTACATTGACTGCAATTGTACGCTTTTCAAATCTCTATGATCATTATGTCTACGGATTCCAAAATTTATTGAATATCAAGCATATTTGGATGGAAAGTTACACATGTAATGGATTCGAAAGTAAATTAGCTTATTGTCGTAGAAGACTAAATTATGATGCTGTACAGTAAGTACAAATTTACTAAATACTGAATGAAAACAACTAATATCTAAGTATTCATGATACCATCTAGTGCTTTAAAACCTCTCAGTTAATGAGATACTTTTAAGAAATCGAACCAAAGCTTGACGATTCATATTTCTAACTATGGTTCAATTTGGTGACCTCTGGCTCATTGCTGAAACTTATAATATTTATTAATTTAAATTTCTAGATAACTAGACTTTTGAATTGTTATTAGAATCGAATTTTGTGGGAGCTATCGATTGTTATTGATATCACGAAACGACCTAAGTCAGATATCCACTTAGAACCAACAAACATTGGATAGCTGTTTTTCCCTAGGATTAGGTTTATCCACGACCCTAACAAGAGGATCCAACTCAGGACTTTCGGCCTCATAGTCAACAATTAACTCCTAGACCCTTAACCCGGAATCTAATGATGTAAACGTCTAAATTCAATCAGTTCATGACATTGCGGTGTTGTGAATGCACACTGCTGAGCGGTCCCATACTATGACGAAACAGCTTTTCAGTGCTTACTAGTTTCGAATAAATATCAGTTCGTGATATTAACGACATACAATGATTTCCTCGAACCTCAATACTGGTAATTACTGTGTGCTCATCACGGACTAATTTCAAGAGGTAATTCTAGTGAGAGCTCTTGACCTGTTAAGATCAAACATGGTTGGGTATGAAATAGTTACCCTCGGAAGATAATGGAAAAGGGTCACATTGTAGTGGCTTGTCTTCGAGATAATTCCTTAGGTTTGGAACCGTGAAGGGAAACGGAAAAAAGAAGGACCAAAGAACACACCGCATCGAGAATTGGAAGCAGACAACAAAAAGATGAATAACAACTACAAAGAACTGGAAAAATTGCCCAGAACAGAGTTCTATTGAGAATGTTGGTATGTGGCTTACGTTCCTCCACCAGGGATAACAGGCGTAAGTAATTAAGGCACATAACCCATCAAGTTCTGGTTCAGTGGTATAGAATTTAAATGATCGATACCAAGAGTATTGGACGTGATTTCCTATAGAGGAGTCGTGGATCTTTACCATTCAGGAGCCCATATTAGATTGTATATAGTTGTGAGGAGAATCCGATAAAATGGAATGAATTCATCGTACTTAACAAACCTTATTGTTTAATTTCATCAACACAGCCAATTGTGTGGATTGAATCAAATCATTTTTTATGATTAATTTTATCATAAAAGTAGAAACTTATTCTATCTACTACTGTTTCACAATTACAAGTAGTTTGCAAATCTAATTATACTATTAATCAAAACATCATTATAAATATTTGGTATATCTCTGTTCTCCGACACTTTTAGATGTTTGAAGCGTAAAGACTTTGTCTTTTTACGTTGTATACCTCAAATCAATAAAACCGTATCAATAGACAAAAAGATCATAGATTTATCTACTTCGACTTGGGGTAATATTCGTATTGTACAACCTAATTCTGAACACTATCCAACTATGTTGCCCAATAACCACATGAGTTATACCGAAAAACAATCTGTACTTGAATATGTTAATATAGAAAATGCTGGTTTACTACATGGTGAACGTGTTCCAGCGCTGACTATAGTGTATGCTTACCCAAAGTAAGTATAAATGTTAATGTTCCATTAAAACACTAGTCAAAAGGGTCTTGTGGAGATTGGTTTAGTTTATAGGTTGTGTTCATCACAGATTGATCTCAACTGAGATAACATTGAAAACTTAAGGTCACAGCGAAACTATCTTATTCAGGTATGGGACTACTTAATATCGCGTACCTACAACTTCAGGGGTCAAAATGTTTTGTGCTCGATCTCTTGAGAAGTTATATGTCTACATTGATGAAGAGTTTCACACTAAGATGAAACAGTTATCTAGTGCTCTCTGGTTTTGAATGGTATCTCAACTGAGATTAATTTATGATTAATACGACTCACAAACAAGACGTTATTTACTCTTTCCCAAATCTATCCAAATATCGAAAAATTTTGGCTGCATTGCCTTCTCCGATCTGGATGATTTGATCGTGGTGCTTTAATTTTGGTTTTGAACAACATCACTAGAAGCGTCTCTGTTTGCAAACTAAACCATTCAGCTCAGAGAATACATAATTTTCTTAATGTATGAATGAGTGAACATAGAAAGGGTGATTCTAGTGCACTGTGAATCATATAAAGTTATTGATATACCGGTAAAATGAAAGTATTTTCTGCTTATCACTACTATAACATGATAATATGATCGATGACCTGGACTGTGCTACCACTAGACTGGATACTAAATCAATATGTTATGCACACTCGATCACGTTATACCAGTTATTAAATTCCCGATCAAATAAAGAGAAGCAGAGTATAAACGAGAGTTCAGAGCAGAAAACAATAATAGGAAGGAAATTATAAATTAAGTAGTCAGTAGGCTGCATCCATCAGTTCACGCTCAACGGCCAATTACACTTACATTCACTAACCACACATCAAATATATTTGATAATTTACTACTACAAGTCTAATTACTAAATACAATATGTGTCGATTAATGATAGTACACATTAAACCGACAGTGAATAAAACAGTGCACTCTAGATTTTCAACGACTATTGAACTAACATTACTTCCTAATTAAAATTAACTTCAAAATATACTGAGTATTAATTCGAACTATTTAAATTGTTGATAATAGTTGTGAGCTAACTGGGAAGTAGTTTCAAGTCTTTTTTTTTAATTCCTAATGAGGAATCGTGATTTGTGATGTTTAAAGTAAAACAGTAACTCAAAAATGATATTGGATGAGAATAGTACTACTGGATCGTAACTTGATTGAAACTGAAAATAGCAGTTACTTCATTCATGCTCATTAGTTTAAGTATGTTATCCTTTCAGAAAGGTCTGTAGATTCTACTATGTGTGAAGTTATGGTTATATACTGATGAACAGTTTTAAAATAGGACGTAACAACTATCCATTATTTCCTTATTTCATATCATTTTTCAGAAAGTCCCTTTTTTAGTGGTAATAACCCTCAAATTAAACTATTTTTTTCCACTAAAAATGATTACGCACTATATGTGTTGATAATCGGGAACTACAAGTACATTTCTACATTCATTCAAAAAATATACCTGGAACTGTATCATAACAATGCTTTAGCTATTATCAGTGACTATGAATATGAAGTTTAGGGGTGAAGAAAGCTCCAGAAATACAAAAAATACCCTTTGAAAATCATGAAAATTAAATTATTGGCTACCTACCAATTATCTTTAAACCATTCAAGTGCCGAATTCAATGAACTAGAATTAATACGTCAACACTCTTGATATGAACATCATGGTTTTCGAATTCCATTCAATATCCACAAGTTACATCATAACGGTGGTAAATATAGGTTTGTAACTAGTATAGCTGCAAAGACTTATGTTTGGTAATTAGATTTTCATTCAATAGATTCGTGAACGACGAAATTAACATCTTCAATCAATGTACTTTTCAAGTAGTGTCTATTTCATGTCAATTTTTTTATAAATATGACTGTATCGTTTCACCAGAAGAAAATTCACTGTCTGTACAACCCAGGTACTTTATTCATTTGTGTTGTAGGTATTGATACTTCGCCATTATTGAATAATCATCACTTAGCTATACAATTAACCACATCAATTTAAGTGATCGATCGTACGTCCATAAAAAATCATCTGTTCGTAATATCTTGTATTTCAGTATTTTCACCATAAACTGATTTTATTTAAACAATCACTGAGAAATAGAAAGCACTTTACAACTGTTTCATCCATAAATCCACATATGGTAATAATAGTCATCGTATTCTTGCTAGTAGCTGATTTCAAGAGGTTACACAGCATCGCAAGTTGAATGAAGTTAGATATGTAAGCCATTGGATCCTAACTCAGTTCTATAAAGGGTAAGCGATTTTCACGAGATCTGAAGGTCTAAGATTCGATCCCCTGTGGTGTAGTCATGAATTTACACTGTTAAGAATTCGCCTACTAAGAAAAAAACAATTATGGTTGTATGATTAAGTTTAGCCTATGATATCAGCTATGTAATTAAACAACCTCCACTAGACCCTTACAGCTTCCAATATTTCTTACTATCTCTTCAAAAATAATAATACTTTCCAATTATTCTTTTCTCACTGTTTTCCTGGTCCATATTTTTAATTGAATAGACTCTCATTCATTAAAATTAACAATTGTTTTGATTCTGGACTTGAACTTATTACTCCAAATGGTCCAGTCAAAGTTACTAACTGTACTATGTCGAAATGCCTTGGACGCGGATTAGGTATGACAATATTTAACAGTGATTCTACTGATCCAGTTACGATTGGAACAGAAAATTCCAAAGTAAGCGAACAATATTAGTATGTAATTTAGTCAGATAATGTTTGAAATAAAGCGTCCCAGGTGACGTCACACTTCTTTAAGTTCTAGTTTATGAACTGGAATTAAAGTATGAAAATAGTGTTGCTCATCTGTTACACAGCTTACTCGATAACCCATAAAGAATGGAATGAGGAAATACTATGACTTTAATTTCTATACCCCCACTTTATAGAACCACTAATTTACTGTATCCACTAATGATGAATCATCTTACACCAATAATACTAATTATTTGCAGTTCACCTAATTTTTAAGGGTTTGTGTCTCCCAGTTGTTAGTATTAAAAACTGGGTTTAGTTTATCTTTTCGGCTTATATGAGTCGCGAATAGATCACCTCGATATTTTCTTATAGTCATAAGTTGTAGTAAACTTAGACGAAACGTATGAGTTCGAAATTCCATTGCTAGCCACTATTCAACTTTACTTCCGCTTCACCCGTTGTCTCCATTATGCATTCTGAAGTTGACAGGCTCAATCATTTATCTTTCCCCCCCCCAGCCTATTCAATCAGAAAACGAGGAAAGACGACTAATCTACTGTATATATACATATATATAATAACTCAAGACTGACAATATACATCGATTAAATGACTACAATGCATAGTAAATGAGAGACCACTATCTGTATACAACTATGTCATTTATAATACAAAACTGAGCATTAGATATACGTTAAATTGGTCGTAATCGATGAATGGTAGAACCAATATTGATAGTTAAGGAAGTGAATGAAAGCTTACAGTTGGGATAAAATGAAAATACGGCAAGCCAAATATTAATGTGGGTTAGACGTTGGCGCTCAAGACGAAACGCCATGAGTTCGATCTCACTGCTCAAGAGTCTTTTACCAGAACTAAACATCTCTGCAGTACTACCGAGCTTCTTTACTAATATTATTCTGTGATGTGAATCTTTTTTGAATGATACACAGTTCAGAAGTGTTTTTGTGAATATTATGGTAATTTCAATAGTTGAAAACATGAGTCATTTGAAGCTAGACCACCATAAAAAACTTGGAAGCACCGGGCTCAGTGGTCTAGAGGTTCAAATCTCGCGAGGCGAGGTCGTGGATACATACCGCTGAGGAGTCCCACAGTAGGACGAAACGGCCGTCCAGTGCTTTCAGGTTTTCCATGGTGGTCTAGCTTAATGATCTTATTTATTAAACATACACATTTCCATAAACTTAATAATCGCAAACATTTGTTTAAACTACAAATTCCCAGTTATCTAATTCACCATTACTACTGCATTTTTTTAAAATGTGGACTATTTTAAACTAATTGCTTTTTTCATCAGTCCTTCTATAATAATCCGTCAACACTTCCACCTGAACAACACTCATTATTCCCTTTACCACAACCATCGTCTGGAAACATATTATTTAGCAGTAAATTATCAAATGAGTTCACTCGTTCACCTTTAAGTGAATATCCATTTAAAAATGAAGAGATTTTATTTGGTTTTATTCCAATGTGTTCAAGTGAAAAAGTGATCAATGTGCTAGATCGTGTTCTAGTTCAATTTAAATATTCTTCATGGTTAAATGGTATACATTCATGTACCAAGATATTTCGCTCAATAATACCAGGACGTCGTTTAGCATGGAGATTTTTAGCAGTTAATTTATATAATGATCCATTGATTGAAGTATGTGTTGTTTCAAATAGTTTTGTAGCTTTTTTCAATAAATTTATGATGATCAGTGTTTTTTTTTCTATTTCATTGAGAGGATATCATTAATAAATCTGAATCAGTTTTATAGCATGATACTCTAAGTCAGTTTACATTCAACTATTGGATTGCAAATTCCAAACCTATCTTATTTAAACTGAACTCCTTCATACACACAATAAATGTATCCAATTTTTAATCATACTTATTTTACAAAATTAAAGACTAATACTTCTGTCTCAAAGAGTCCTACTCAGTCGATCAGTTAGCACTCACTAAAGGAAGTAATTGAGGATATACACAAAACTCCTGACATATTTCTGAGCGGTTGTTGATACTATAGAGCCTAGGGTTTGAATTCCACTCCGTCTATTTCTATTCAGACAACTAGTAAGTATTACTCGCTCTCATAAACACTCAACTATGATATCAATCCAAATAGATAACCCTGTCCTTAGTTACTTAGCTACATGTTACAATTAAGATGTGTGATAGTTAGTTTATAACAACACAGATATAACATATCTTTTGAACGGTCTAGTGACTATCTGAACTCAGTAGTTCAATGAATAATGCGCTGACTTGTGAGACAAAAGGTAATAGTTTAGTGTTCCAGTGGGAACTTCAACAATAGGATTGAAATCTTTCCAGTTATCAAGTTCCAAAACTAAATGAAACTTGAGTCCTGAATCCGAATGTCAGCCATAAATTAAATATACAATGAAGGCAATCCTCCTAGGGTACTTATGTACAAAAGAAGACAGACTAATTGCAGTCCATAACGTCAACAATGAGAAAATACAAGACTTTAAAATTGCTATTGCATGTTTGATTTCTTAGATTTGCGCTTACAATCTGAAATGTTCTAATACGAATTTATACAGTTCCAAACTTTACCATCCTTCACAGCATAAATTAACTCTTCAACAGCTAAATGTTTCAATAGTTGAGATCATGAGTCAATTGAAGCTAGACCACCATGGGAAACCTGGAAGCACTGGACGGCCGTTTCGTCCTATTCTTTGTTAGAAGAACATACTTCAACTGACGTTACTATGTTTCTTAAACAATATCAGAACAATATTAAATCGGTAGTCATAATGCGGTATACCTTCCATACATATTCCAAGACAGTTCTGAGTGTACCTGTCAGTAAATTCAATTTTTGACAGATTTTTCACTACAGTATTTATTTTACCAGAGGCTAATCAGTTTTATATATCTACTCACTATAAGTTTCTTGTATGACACTAAAAATGTTCAATAAATCTATTCATGAATATAAAAAGTTTTATATTGATCCACTCAGTATTACAGTTAGACGCATTACACGAATTCAACAAGGAATATCAATTGCATGATGACTTCAGATACATTTTGCTAGCATTAAACAGTTAGCATTAACAGCTAGCATTAAAATTAGGTCCAGAGGTTTTTATGAATTATTTTCAACTACTTAGCATTACAACTGGAGTTGATTACTTTAGTTCTCTTTGTTATTATTTGTAAGTATTTGTATTTTCTTGTCACTGATATCCTAGATTATTCGTTTAGTCATTGATTTCAAATAAGCTTCTTAAGAGAATATTATTTGGAGCTACAAGTTGATTACTTCTTTATTGTGGCTACTGGTGGAACACAGAACATTAGTTTTGTCCCATCTGTGGCTCGTCAGTCAACCAGCGGATGAAAATAATATCGAGGCATCCTCTCAAGGACGTTATTTTTAAACAAAGACTGATCAAACATACTCCGATTTATCAACAACGGCAAAATAAAAACCCTTAAAGATATAATTCATACCCGTTGGACAACCCGCTAGCTTTCTGGACTCAATAGCTTATTGCATATCATATTGATGTTTGGTGTGAAAGGTACCGGTTTCGAGTCCCAATGTGAAATTCGATACTGGGATTCAGGCCCATCCGTCTGACGAATCAGGAATCGGGAAAAACACTTCTTTCAATATTCCACTGGTAGCTATTATTTAATTTTAATAGAAAATTATCTTCTTTTACATTTCTCTGTCTTTTTTTCGCAACAGAATTTCATTCAATTGTATAATGGTGTAAATCAAACTGCAAATCAAATGATTACAGTTATAACACAAGATACTCTATCAATGAATGAAAATTATCTAACCAATAAACACTACACATTTATCACTTCACCAATCCATGATGAATTTAGTGTTTATGTACATACTAGTTCAGTTAGCGATGATAAGTATGGATTTATCGCGGAAATTATTAGTTTACCATTATCTGTTGGACGTAAACAGCAAGAAATGAGTAAGTTTAATCCTAATGTAACGTTCAGCTTTTGGGAATTTTGTATATATTCTGAAAGTACTTTGTATGATGAGGAAATATAAGGAGCAGTTTGTGAGAGAATCTGGAACAGAAAATTATAAGAGAAAAGTCAGCCGACGACCTAGTGAACATATAGAATGCATTTACATTTAATAGTGAAGACAAGTGATAACAATTACAAATAACACAACCGTGAGATTAAAACAATCTGATAATCACAACTCGAAGTTGACAGGGTAAAGTTTCAAAGGAGTTATCCGATCATTTATTGAAAGACTTCTGTCAAATAATTTAGGACAGTTATTAGTTGATATGTCTATATTCTGAAAATTTAGCTGAAAATATGTGCTTTTATAAGCAATATGTATATAACACCATAGTTATTATGTAATAGAACCGGAGATGCTAATTGATTACTAAATAAACTTAATGCTATTTAAAACTACATTGGTTTTTCATATAAAAATTAGTCGAATAACTGTCTTCCTCTCAGTTAGTCAGTTTCAACGTAGAACATCATGTACATCAGCTCAAATTGCTACACTCTGTTAGCACATAGAGATGAAATTGTCAGGTCAAATTCCAGAGTAGTTCTAACAGCATCAGTAGTAATGGAGAAGATTAAGCATCAAAGATACGACTCAATGAAATATAAATTAGTGAAATAAGAAAAGCTGTCCGAAACTCAGAGGTTTAGAACTTGGAGAAAGACAAAGAGTGGATGTACCTGCGTCGTTGCAATTGATTTTGACCTCATTCAAAAGACTCTAAATATGGTTTACGATAATCACACGGACACCAACCATGTAGTTTATACCCACTAACATGGTTTAGTTCAATCGTCAACGGACTGATGCCACGTTTCAATTCTTAGATATACTTTTAATTAAGAAAGAATGTGGTTCAATCAAAAAACTTGTCTATAGAAAGCCTACGTGGACCAGAAAGTATCTTATGTTGTCATAGCTACCGTTCCGTTGAATTCAAACAAGGTTTGATAAAAAGCCTATTCAACAGGACTGACCACATCTTAACGAGTAATACTACTGAGACTGAGGTGAACCTATTAAACGAAACACTGAAGAATAAGTATCCATTGAAGTACATAAACTTGCATCTATAAAGCCAATCTACATCACCCTACCATTCAGAAATGAGTCCAATAGATTTGTGTTGAAATAAAGGTTTAAATCGGTTACCATGTGGACGTAACATTCGACGAAAATTATTATTAATGTAAAAAGTGTCCACGCTCCACCAAAAACCTAAATAGCTTGTAGACGATTGTATCACATCTCTTTTGTGTGGATGATTACAAAGTTCAGATTTACAAATTTCTATAAATTATCTGCAAAATAACTACTTGCAATTGCAGTGACACTAGATAAATTCAGTAGGTTTGTTTAATGACGGAATTTAGAAATCTGTCAGTTTAGCTAAACAGTTTGATATTGGTTAGTTCAGTGATTAGTCAGTATGTTTTTTTCGATCTTGCAACTGGAGTTGGTCCTCAACCTCAATAGCTTGGCAAGATTTCCTGCTGTAGAGTAGTGGTTATTTCCTGTACAGATAGAGAACTTTGATTATTCCTGCCAACAGATACTAATCATAGGTCAGCCGATAATCTTGTATAAATTACACCACCTTATATTTAAGCAGCTAAATAGATCTAGTGGTATCGCAAATTCTACACGACATCAGAAAAACTCTCTCTAGAAAACTGTCTTTATTTTTCTGATACTTTTAATCTTCGGTTATTTTTCCCTAATTTACTAAGTATACTTCATAACAGGAAGTAATCGACTCCAAATTAACTTACTTTACTTACTCAATCCTGATGCCCCTAGTAGAAAAGCATAGGCTTATTACCAACATTCCCCATCCAACTCTGTCCTGGGCAATCCTTTCAAGCTGATTTCAGTTGCTATTCATTCTATTGATGGCTGCTTCTAATTCTCGACTCAGTGTGCTCCTTGGCCTTCCTCTTTTCTTTTTACCTTCACGATTCCAATTTAGGCCTTGCCTCGTGATGAGACTCCAAATCAAACTAATATCCATATCACTCCTGTTATTGATTTACTTGACACTTTTATGACTGCCAAATGACATATTCTAAAGTTCAGAATTAAGACATGTTATGTAAGGTCAACGGAGTGTTCACAAGTTGAGACAAAACATTTGTCTTATACATCCTGACTTTATGCATAATGGAAGTTATTCCATAATGAGTTTAATCTGACCATTTGGATTCACGTGAAATCATATCAAATGAGAAACAAACTCCTAATGCTTAATAAGTCCAGGTTACAAATGTTTTACATCCTCTATATTTACTTCCCCAAAAAGCGAATCGTATCACCTTCCCCTAAACTAAACAAATGACCTCATTTTGTAAAATCCTTTTATACTACCTACTTTTAAATAGGTAGCTTGTATAAATCAACTTCATTTGAAAAAGCCTAAAGCACGTTATCATTAATTCATTTAATCAATAACCTAAATTTTTCAAACTCTTTCGTTTGTTTGTTTTTTTTGTTTCAAACAGACAGATTTATAAAACATGAGATCGATACGTGTGAGTTTCATCATAATCAAGAAGGTGGATTACGGATAACAAGTATTGGTGAATTTGGACCTGATATACATTTATCAAATCTTCGTTTGGAAGAAAATGGTTTAGTTATGTTAAATTTAACCGGTCCATCAGCTATAGAGTTGTATTTAACAAATTCCCGTAATTTATTGATACAAAACTCTTACATCGCTAAACATTCTGGTGATATAATTAATATGGTTTTATTAGCTAATCAACTTACCAATGGAATTCAAGCAAATTTGACAAATAATGTTATTGTTCGTAACAAGTTTGGCAGTGTTCTTCAAGCTCACGGTAAATGATAAAAGTTTCTTCTAAGAAATTTTTCTGTCATTAGTTAATGAATGAACTATTTGTGTTTCGAATGTTTTTTATCCAGAAATGTCATAAATCTCAGTAATTTCCAATTAGCTTGCGACGGAATTTCATGAAATATCCAACCATTAATCAAATAAACGTATGAATAGACTATCGTAAGGCAGTCTCCTAGGTAGAATGAATCACCAATTTAACACATTAATAACATACACAAAGATTAATCGTAATTGTTCCTTAATTTAATTCAGAAGTTCATTTTCTATACTAAAGACGTGTTTCTATTAGTAGCATTTGTTTAAATTAACGATTTTCCTTAGATGTATGGTATAAAAATTTACTCTGTTGGAAATTCATTTTAATCCATTTACTGGCTAAAGTGAACTGCCATAACCTGAAGTAAAACCCCGGTACTTGTAATTGTGACACAATAAATGAGCTAACCCGTTGCATCTGTGCAAACACGTTACGCCAGCTGGAATACCTGCTCTTTGAGACTCTTCATCGACAGATTGATAGTTCTCTTAAAGAGTAACAAGACCGGAAACAACACTTTTAAGGACTTAGGTGAATTGCTACTACTTATTAAAACATGGCTTTGGTGTATGTAAAATTTTTCGCATAGGTAATTATGAAAGAGATTGAAATAATTATCATATAATCTCTTACACTATAGATTTTCTTTTCCAATGGTTATTTACAGTAATAGCATCTGCTCTATGCTAAGATGTTAAATAGTTGAAGTGAATTGGCAAGAAAGCTTATGCCTAGATTTCGCATTACTTGGCACTCGTCAGCAGGTTATACTTGTAGTCATGAGAGAATTAATACTCCCTGTTGGATTTGAATACACATTACACAACATTATTATCAAACGCGATACCACTGAGCTATTCTGAGCCCGACTAACTTTCAACATTCTAATGATTTCTGAGTTCTCTCAAATTTTGAAATAAACAATACATAATCTATCTTTCAATTTTTTTTTCCTACAGGTAATCATTTCAACGCCATACAGGTATTACGTAATTATATAGCACATAATGATTGTGGTTATAGAACAATGATTCATATAAATGGTTTATTAAGTCAACCATTTGAAAATAATTTCATTTATGATAATCGTGCTGACATACTACTTATATGTGAAGGAAATGAAAATTTAAACCAATATTCTATTTATCAAAAAAATGGTTTTTATAATAATCAAGCCTTAAATATAACAAAACGTACAACCATATTCTGTAAAAATTCTAAAAATATATTTCGATATAATTATTTTCGTAATATATTAAATGATTATGAGCTTGTTACTGGGAATCAAAGTATAATTAGGTGAGTTTGAAACTAAAGTTTAAAATGTTAAAACGATATTTTGTATGTTCTCCTTTCAGAACTTAATCCTTTTTCAATCCTTGACAGAAACTGGTTTATTAAAAGTGGAATCGCAGATGATTTTTTTTCATAGAATAGATGGAATGTGGCTAGCAGTAGAATATAAGATATGCGTTTCATCCAGCTTGACTCTCGCCACCTGAATATATCTGTACCTTAGAGTTAATTTTCACACCAGGATTGGAACCCAATAGCTTTCCCTTAAAAAGCTCAACGCTTTATCTACTGAGCTATTAAGTCAATATAGCTATTGACATGTGCAATGAGTATAAATTGTGATTCATACTATTACCTAATGTTACTTTCCAATTAAATGGTTGAAATATTTCTAGGGAATTCAACTGTTGTCCTTATTATAACCATTAATTTGAACTTGTAGAATTTCCATGGTGTAATGTTTAAAAAGAAAAGTGAGATGAGTAGGTAAGTTTACTTGTTAGACCGCATTATAATGTACACAAAGCATAGGTATATATATGATTGTCCTTCAGACCCAGACAAAGACATGTAGATTGTGACCTCTAAAATTGTGTCTCATTTATGATGCCCCACCTATCGTTCGGCCTTGAGGCAGCTTGTAAGCATAAGTACGTGATATATCCATCCTCATCCATTATAATAACTGGGATCTAGCACATTCTGGTCTATGTTGACAATTTGTAATGTACATAGAACTTTTAATTACAGTGTTGTTATTTTGTCTTTTTTATCAAGGTTAAATATCGAACATTTTTATTCGTAACCCGTTCGTAGTCTTTTCGGCTCTCAAAACTACATAGATGTTAGTATCAGAAACTAGTTATATGAAACAACCGAAGTTACTGAATGAGAAAATAAGATGTGCATAAATATCTACAATTTACTTATGACAATTTCTTTCAGTTAAGCTGATAAACTTGTATAACCAGTCATTATTGAGCGCATGATTCGTATCTGTAGAATTTTCATAGTTTAAATCGCTAACTGATCTTATCTAGACCACTATATTGCAAACTGAGAAGCACTGGACAACTGTTTCATTCATGTATGGAACTTCTCAACAGTATTCATCCACGAACGCATCACAGTGGATCAAACGGAGGATGTTTGGTCTTGAGCGAGAATGCTTGGAACTTTTAGACCACTGAGACCAACATCCAATAATGCACATATATTACTTTAATCAGTTTGTGATATTGTGCGAACATGTTTCGTTGTCTGTGGCGGATAACTGTATCGTACCTGATATGGTTGAACTCCACTGATTCCGGCTTCTCACTATGACTTCAGGTACTACGTCTTGAAATTAAAAGCTGAAGAGCAAATAATCGTTCTTAGTTTTGGGGGTTGGTGGCGGTTGTAGAATTTTTATAGACTAAATTAGACAATTGAAGATGGTCGCGAAACCACGAATCCTGGTTTTTAGGGGTCATCTAACAAATATCAACCGATGATGTTAACTGCAAACTTTATAGAATCTCCATAGACCTTTATAGTAACTAGTCATGTACTCGCCCCAAGAGGTAATTCTGAACTTCTGTAGAGAAGCCGTGACCGGTGGAGTTTAACCGCCCACAAAGTACGTTGGAAGATGGTTTCACGAAAATACAGATTTATTTAGTTAAACAATTAAACCATTGGATTCCAGCTCAGTGGTTTAAAGGTTAGATGTTTCCTCTCAAGATTGAACATCCTGAGTTTGATTCCCTAGGGTAGGTCCGTAGACACACATATCTGAAGAGTCCCATACTGCGACGAAATAGCTGTTCAGTGCCTCCCAGTTTTTACTAATTGATTAACTAAGACCAGTCCGTAATTTTGACTATGTAATGGTATTGTTAACTCCTCCTGTAGCTAACTCTGTCCGTAGCTCTTCTAGAATTTTTGCCGGTCCCAAGCCAGGATAAAGGAGAAAGGTTGGATATTGGGGTGACAACTCCATGCCGTAGAAAAAACTTCTTAAAAACGCTAACAAAATTAAATAAGTAATCGTATTGTTGTAGATGAAAGGTGGTGAATCGAATGAAGATGTAATTGATACTTCCTGATGGATTCGAAGCCGGAATCGAATGTAGGTATAAGTACTCGAACTGACTTAGACTGAAGGTATGTGAATGATAATGTTGGTCTGGTAAATAATTCACCTATTAACAATAAGCTTATTTACATGAGTCACTCTGGCGACCGCATGTAATTCGTCCACGCCTATCAAGAATATGATTGTTGAACTAATCAATTTACTGCTATCGAAAAACTAATTCGCTTATTAATTGTACACTACTTAAAAGTAGTACAAAATAACCAAAAATAATTGAATTCAAATTACTAGCAAAGGTTGAAATGAATTATATTTACGGTTTTAAAAAGCTAATTATTTCATTAGAAATAGTTTTCATTTACGTGTCAGTTCTCTCATTATCATTAACACTATACTCTTTACTCAATAAGAAAAGATAATTAACAGTTACAAGGTAGACTTTTGTTGAAATTATACTATCTTATGATAGATTAATGATGTCAGATATTTGTAGTCAATTAGTGGAAATACTTTTTGTTGTATTTGTTTCTATAACTCAATGTTAAACATCTCAGATTTGTAATGTTCTACACAAAATAAAGGCTCTTAATGACAATTCATTCCATTTTTTTGTACAATCATCAAGCCATAATATCATCTAGAAAAAGTAATTGATAACTGGTGAATTCGACACCAGCATCCATCGATAATCCTACCAAAAAGTGCAGTTTAAAATTTCCGAATTCTGTAGTAAAATAATCACAGATTGTTGAATCGAAATACATACGGTTTATACATTTTGACTGCAGTTAACTTTTTTTCTGATTATACATGACTGATATGTTGTTACTTACTTACCTAATTGCGCCTGTTACTCCCAATGGATCATAGGCCAACCCACTCTGTCGTGAGCCTTCCTTTCCAGTTCTATCCAACTGTTGTTCATTCTTCTCATATCTGTCTCCATTTCTCGGCGTAATGTGTTCTTTGGTCTTGAGGATACCAACTAAAGGCTTGCTCTGTGACACAGTTGGGTGCTTTCCTCAATATGTGTCCTATCAACCCCCAGCTCTTCTTCCTGATTTCTTCCTCCGCTGCGATCTTGTATGTTCTCTTCTATAGTGGGTTGTTGCTGACAGTGTCTATCCAACGGATCCGAAGTGTTTTGCGTAGACAGCTGTTAATAAACACTTGTATCTTCTGGATGATGGCTTTTGTAGTTCTCCAAGTTTTCGCCCCATACAGTAGAACTTTTTTGACATTTGTATTGAAAATTCTGACCTTGGTGTTGGTATCATAATAAGCAATTGTATTACTTTCAAATCGGTTGAATTTTGCTCTATTTACCTGAAATCCATCTGAAAAGAAGTTGTTTTGGTATTAGACGCTGAAGATTTTGTCCAGAATGACAATGAAAGCTGTGAAACCAAACCACCTTACTCGAAGAACTCAACTCTACCAAAACAACCCAGCTGAGGTACAAATTTTCCACTATCAGTTTAAAAATAATTATCGATACATCCATGATGATTACTTATAGTTGTGGGGATTTGTTAAATAATAAAATATTAACTTTGGAACTTTAAACTCAACATTAAAACGAATGCTACAAACAATAGGCTCGACCATAGAATTTCTTTATACTTATCTTAATTATCTTAAATCATAGTGAAACTGCCCCAGATGAAGGCTAATTCTTTCGACATCAAGTCATGATTATTAATTAGTCTTTTAATCGTAAATTGTATCATTTAATACTGATCTGTATATGTTTTCACTCCATTAGTGTTTTACCAATACAATCAGGATTTCAATGTCCAACTTCCCCTTATACATCGTGCCCTCAAGGATGGAAATTACGCTTGGAATACGACGCTTGTGTATGTTATAGACCGGATCAAATCGATGCACAATATAACTGGTGGGGAGATACTTCTTCTTCATCATCATCATCATCACTGCCAAAAGTATCATCATTATCAAACAATCAACTATTGTTAATGAATTCTGTGAAATCGACAAACATAACGATTGACAATGAAGATCACAATCAAATAACTTCACAAAATTTTGCACAAAATCGAATTTATGATCATCAAGATGATTTATATTTGATTAAAGTGAATTATGCTAATTCTTATTTAAGTAATAGTTCAACATTAGGACAAGGAATTTATTGTCCACCAAATTGGGATTTTTATGAATATAATTGTTTTTATTATTTTGGCGCACCGATGACATATCAAGAAGCAAATGATTTTTGTCTTTCTGAAGTTGATGGAATTTTAGCAAGTACGTGTAATTGTGAAGAGGAGGTAGTGGAAAAAAATATAGATTTATTTTTCAATGGTTGAGATCATGAGTCAGTTGAAGCTAGACCACCATGAAAAAACTGGGAGCACTGGACGCCGTTTCGTCCTATCGTGGATGCGCACTGCTGAGGAGCCTCATAATAGGACGAAACGGCGTCCAGTGCTTACAAGTTTTGCATGATGGTCTAGCTTCAACTGACTCATGATCTCAACCGTTGAAATTACTGTAATATCCACTAAACCCCTTCTGATATAAACTAATTTGTTTATAGGAATTATATGCATAAACTTTTTAAATTCAATAACTAACTAGAGAGAGATGGATATAGTGGAAGTTTTACTTGGATAGATTCAAATAACATGAATTTCATGTATTCAATTAGCTTTACGCCTATATTGGTGGCTGAATCATAATTATGACCTACCTATATTACAATCTTGCAAATAAAAAGCTAGGCTGATGTTATCTATAATGTTTGCAATTGTTGTCACAGTCTTTTTGCACCCAACACTAGCACCAACTCTTTCGTTTATTTAGTTGGTGGGTGTTGTATATGACAGTATAATATTGTTTAAAGATTTCAAGTCAAACAGGCTGGAAATGCTCGTAAATGTATGCTATGAAGATGTCTTGTATAGTTCAATCCGATAGTACAAGCTGTCTCTTTGAATCGCTTCCACGTGTTTCACTTCTATTGAGCTTCTTACACTGAGATCATAAAGTATGCTTAATCCAAATACTTTTACAAGAATTATATTGAGTAGTTATCCGGAGAGACTAATCAACTGTGAACTTTTGAACAGTGCCGACCACACACCTCAACCAGAATGGTCTTTCTAAATGATCTAAATCAAACTGTTAGACTTGCATATGTGATTTAACGTTAAACAATCTTCCTAAATCAGTCAAGCAGAGTAAAAAGTACAGAATTGTCTAAAAAGAAACCTTATGAAGTGACTAGTGTTTACTCAATACTTTCGCTTAGCAAAGAAAATACCAATATAAAAATTTTGTATTTTATCATAATCATTACTCATTTTTACTTTTTTATGAGTTCCTAATTTTCTCCTCTTCAAACCAATCATTTCCTAAAACATTCCCAATTTTAGATCTCATATTTTACACGATTGAATCTCATCACCTTACAGACTAAAGTACAACCTGTTTAAATGGCACACATGTTTCCTTAAATCTTAAAAACTTTCTCTTCGTGTGACACAAACATAAAACAGCATTTCATAAAAATGAAGTGATATTTCATAAAACAGATTGTGGCTAACAATGTAATCTATGACCTTCATTTTGTACTGCTTGGGACTCGTCGATTGAACATATCAGAACTTAAACGATATTATACCAACAGGATGTACGTACTGCCAAAGAAGACTGGTCAGCTAAAGTCCTGAATATCTACATCGTTTTACTTCAAACTCTTGATATAAAATTAATCACTTGGATACAGGTAAACATATATAAGGGATATCAAAAATAAGTCAATCGTTTACAATAATCCATCCATTCCATGAAGTTATATTTATTTCTAGATAACAAGTGTAACTGTACAAATTCAGACTAGGATTACTTACTTACGCCTGTCACCTCTCGTGGAGCAGCACAGGACGCCCAACAACATTCTCCGTCGAACTCTGCTCTGGACAATCCTTTCCAGTCGCTATTCATCCTTTTCATGTCTTCTTCCAATTCACGGTTAAGTGTGTTCTTAGGTCTTTCTCTTTTCTTCTTCCCATCACGATTCCAAGTTAGCGCTTACCTCGTGATGCAGTTTGATGACTTCCGAAATGTATGTCCTATCCACCTCCAGCTTCCTTTCCTAATTTTCCCTTCAGCTCGAAGCTGCTTTGTTTTCTCCCTTAGTAGGTTGTTGTTGATGGTATCCGGTCAACGGATATTCAGTATCTTGCGTAAAAATTGTTTACGAATACTTTCAATTTCTTGATGATGATTGTAGTAGTTCTCCAAGTTTCATCTCCGTGCAGTAGAACTGTCTTGACGTTCATATTGAAGATTCTGACTTTGATGTTGGTTGACAGAGTTCTTGAGTTCCATATGTTCTTCAGTTGCAGGAATGCTGCCCTTACTTTCCCTATTCTTGTCTTTACGTCTGCATCAGATCCTCCTCGTCCATCGATGGTGCTTCCCAGATACGTGAAACTTTCCACCTATTCCAGAGTTTATCCATCATATGTGATTGGGTCGGTGTTCTCTATGTTGCATTTGAGGATCTTTTGTCCCTTGTGTATGTTGAAACCTCCTGATACAGAGGCTTCTGCCACAATAGCTGTCTCGACACGCATTTTCTCGTGTGTACTGAATAGAAGAGCTTAGGGATCAACGAAGTCCAAATCGTCTAGTTACATGCCGGCCGTCCATTGTATTCCGTGCTTCCCCCCAGATGTGAAGGTGTTCACAATCCAGTCAACCACCAGAAGAAAGAGGAAGGAGAAGAGTAGACAACTTTGTCTGACTCCGGTCGTCACTTGGAATACATCTATCAGCTGTCCTCCATGCACCACTTTGTACTGTAATCCGTCGTAGGAATTCCGAATGATGTTGACAATTTTCCATGCACCTATATTAATAGTTGCTCTAGTTGTTAGAGGGGGCATCGGCCCCGTTACTTCCGAAGAATATTGGCTTTCACCATGAGACGTCATAATTCTTCCTTCAACTCAGAGGGTAGAGTGTAAGTGGCCTAGTTTGTTTATTCTGGTTGGCATTTTTTCAACAAGGTTGTTTTCTAAGTGATGTGGTAGCTGACGCCCATGCACAACCCTCCTCCTTTTAGTGGGCTTGGAACCGACAGTAGCCCTAGAAGAACAACAGGTTACAGAAAAATACCGTTGTTCTGTCAAAATTTATAAAAGGGACTAACAGTAGAACTATTTCTTGAACTTGGATAGTGTGCTGTTGGTGAAGCTAAATTATGGAATGTCGACAAGTTGGTATAAGAAACTGAAATATGAAATCTTAGAAATCCGTCATTTTGTCTTGTCCCCAATGGAAATCATTGATCTATTTATTATGCTACTCATAAGTAGCACAAAACAAAAGAGGAAAAATGTATTTGTAAAATCTCAGCGAAAGAATTTGAAATCCAACGTTTCGCCTGGCAATCTGGTCCAAGCTTTTTCAAGGAAAATATAATCAAACAACAAAATTATCGAATAGTTTTGTCTCACATTAACTCGGCGCCCAAATATTGTGAAACTATTCGTTCGAATTTAGACGATAGTTCTTATTTAGCACAAAATAGTTTCCTCAATTCTTAGTAAGACAGTTTATTCAGTATTTTGAAGTGCTTTCCAAGGACAACTATAAACGACTAAAAACGAAGTTATTGGATTGTCGTTTGTACGAGAAACATTTACATCTAACGAACTGACCTTGCGGCCTGATTTATAGACAAAGTAATAAACCGTAAGGGAGCGAAGGGTTGTAACTATATTTGTTTCATTATAAAGTTCAATATTAGTTCGTTGAGTAATCTTACCATTACTCAACAAATTATTCTCTATGTGCTATATGCAATCATATATTTTGCTACCACCGATATAAGTTAACGTATTCTCATACAAATAACTCCTACAGTACTAAAATATTTGGCTGGGGTTATCTGCAGTGTTTTGAAAGCTTAATATGTGTGTTGTATTCAGTACCTTCGAACATTTTTCATACGTTTAGTGAATGTGTTCTACTTATTGAGGTATAATTTTCACCAATGATATCATTTCAAGAGCCTAAAGTTATTCATAACACCTTGTTATGTTAGTGTAGCGTAGGCCCATATACCACATGAAACATAAAATAAAGAATTAGGACTAGAGACGGAAAATGCAATATGGAGCAGTTACCCACTAGACAAATAGAGAATCAGCCGGAATTTCTAAATACACTAGAGTTAGCGAACATTGAGAAGGCTTAGTATAAAATCAAACAAAAAGTAACAATTACTGCATCGTATTCGACAAAATATCTTACGAAGTTACTGTAGCGAATTTCCGTCATATTTATGATAAATGTTGTTTTGAAAAAGATTTCGTTGTTTGAAATTTGTTTAATAAAACATATAGACGGGATGAATTGCAAAAAGATTCAGACACAAACAGAATTATGCAAATCTCGTTTATCTATCTATCCTCAGGACAATTAAAGAAGTTGATTAAGTGGGAAATTCATTTGAATTATAGGCATAAGTATAGTACCGTATATCTTCTAAGCTGGCTGGTTATCAGAAGAGATGTTCTAAACAACGAGCTGAAAAATGATCTAATACAGGTCCTTGACTGAATGTCTTCAACTAGCGATGTGCCCAGTAAAACTAACCTAATCGGGGTTAATGTTGAATACTTAAAATAATATTTAATTTGGGAATTTTTTTACAGCTACCAAGTGTCAAAGTATGCAAATTGAAACAGAACTCACTAGACAAGTAACTTCATTTAAACTATAAGAAGATCTTATTATCAATACATAATGAACTAAATAAATGTATATATACATTGTAAGTATTACTCATTTTCTTCTAATTTTTTTAGCTTCACAAGATCGCACTGACTGGTTAGGTAAAAAGCTTGGAGAATGGCAACATAACTATGATTGGATAAACAGGTATACTTGGGTTACTAGGGCATGGGTAGATAGTGACGCTCAATTTCCGACACATTGTACCGTCATTCGAAATGGATGGCTTGAACCATATCCATGTAACAAGAAAATCGGATTTTTCTGCCAGAAAAGTAAGTTTGTTATAAATAACAGGTTTCCAAACAAATATACCTTTTTAAACTCAAAGCTGAATACATTCTCAGATCCTGAGTTTCTATTAGGTTGTTGTAAAATATTATTTCACAATAGTTATTCTTCTTTCAGCTATCTCTCTAGACAGGAAAACTGTTCTCGAATTAATTATCTAATGATTTTAACATAATTCTCAATCATTCATCTTATTCTCATAATTTATTCTCTGATACCTTCTATGAACATTGTGTTCAATTCTGTCGGCAACCATGAGCAACTCTATGTATTCTTGAATAACTCTGATCTAGTAATTATTGGTCGATTCATGAATCCAATGAATCTTAACAATCTCCATTACTGATAATCATCATGTATTCGCTAGTGACTAGCTTTAAAATGCCACGACCAATGGAGTTCAACTGTATCGGATGTGAGACAATTACCCACCGAGAATATTGGAAGATGATCGTACAATATCGTGGATCGATTGAGATTAGACACTAACACCGTTGAGTGCAGGCACAGGAGTCTAGATGTTAAGTGTTCACATGAGAGACCTAAGGTTCTTGGTTCGAGTCCCGGGTACGGAATTGTTGATGCGCACTAACATTAAATTCCATTGAGTCTATCTACGAACACCCTACTCATCATTTAGATACTACAGCATTTCTCAATTAATTTGTTTTGATTATATGTCGACTGATAAATTCGTTAAACCTAACTTCTCCATGATAAAAGACTTATATGAAATATAACAGAACAAAGAAACCAGATTATATCAAGGTCACATTCCAATAATAATTTAGACCACAAAAAATTTTCAGTAAAAATTCTTTAACTATGTTAATCTCTATAAACGAACAAAGATCATACCTGAACAACTTTGCCTTGATCATACGTCGCAAAATAAAAATCCGGTCTTTCCTTTTGTCGAAATCAGCCAATCATATAATTAAAAAATGATTGACCTTGTCCGTAAATAACCTGTGTTTGGATGACCTATTTTCTACCGTTTTGATTGGTGAAATTTAATCAGTTCTCATATTTGGATATCAGCTGACTTTCTGTTTATGGTACTAATTCAATCTGTCCCTCTAATTTACTTAACCAGTGTAATGTTGGATAATCAGATATGAAATATAAGTTTGAATGGATCACTGTTAGGATTAGGATTTGTGTAAAATATGGAACAAAGCAAAGGAAAATTGAGATGAATAACAAAGAGGCTAGGTAACTAGTCAGATTTTCTATAACATGTGGCAGTAAATTGTAGAAAAGTGTGATTTCTAGGACCTCATGCACCTTCTTACTTTATACCCAAATCAATTAACGTGACATTATAAAATAAAAAATCCATCTACTGGCTTTTATAGAAAAATTCTACATACATAAATGCAAATAAAAGGTTATTAAAATCAGGGTTGTGCAAAGAATATTGGTAAATCTCATCTGTGGACGAACACCATCAGTCTTCCAACAATGTGAGATTTGCCTAGTAAACCATAAAGCTGTCAAGATATTAGAACTAACCCATTATAAATACCACAAATTCAATTTTGAAATACACTCTTTGTAAATTTCGTAGATCTATTCACAACAACTAGATGTTAGTTCTTAATATCAACCATAATAAAATAATAGTCTCGTGACAATAATGTATCACATTTGTGCAGAATATTGTGTCCAAATTACACAAATTTATGTATGACATATGACTCTAGTCACTGATCACTTCAATTATCAATGATAATTAACATTGGAGTAGATTAACTTGAAGGAAACAACACCTAAACTATTCGTAGCTTAAATCATAAACTGACCTTAGCTAGACCATCAACCATCCCTATTATAAGACTCCTCAGCTGTATGTAACCAATGCATCCTAGTTTCCAATACTAGTCTAGCTAAGATCAGTTTATGTTTTAAACATCAAAGATTCTACAATTCCTACAAATCCCTCAATACTAATAATAACCATGTGCTCACTAGTGACTAACTTCACTATGTTACTCCTCAACTTCTCGTCAGAAGCTGTGATCAGTGAAGTTCAATCTGTATCGAGTGTGAACTGTTGTTCACATCAGACAATTGATGAGGGTTGCGCAATATCGTGAATTGATGGGACACCATTTGATTTCGAATCAATGGTTTAAAATCTGAGTGTTCAGTTCAAAAGATCCAACACCCTTGGCTCGATTCCCTTGGCAGGATCGTGAATTTTCACTACTGAGAAATTTCATACTACGACGACGAAATGGTCATTCAGTGCTTCCGGTTTCTTATTGTTAGTCTACCTAATATTAGTTTGTGATTTAAACAATAAAGCATTCTCATTAACGCACAAAATTATTAAGAATTTTGCGGTGGTTATCTTCCAACATTTGAATGTGTAAAACTTACAGAGACAACAACAACAGTAATAATAAAATAACCAAGGCGTATGTATTAATGAATAAGTAAATGAATAGAAAATTAATTAAGCTCCCTTTCTTTCATTCATTATCAATTCATAATGCGATTTAAAATATTTATTAGATTGTAACACTATGGCAACAAATAAAGATTACAGCGTTCAAATATTTTTTTAAAGTCAGCATTTGACCCCGAACAAGTAGAAATGTACGTTAACTCTTCTACAATGAGCAAGGAATAAAATTCTTGTTGACAATTCAAACAACGCTATCAAATCATATAATATTTGGTAGTTAATCAGACAGTGATAAACAAAGTAGAATATCACACATATGATTTTAATGTGAATATAGTTTTCATTACTGGTTGATATCACCTCTAAAAATATTGGAAATGAACAATCATTGAACAATTGTTTAGTTCTAAGTCAGTAATAAGAAACGTAAGATCTAGCACATATGTTTGTCGGTTCACGTTTCCACACTACATTACCTCAGTGAGATGAAGTAACTAGCACAAATTCCAAAGTCGTTCAAATAGTAACAGTATCAATGGTGGCAATAAACCTTATGTATAGACAACATGATTCTTGAAGGAGAACTGAATTTAAAAACATAAAAGCATAATAATATTAAGAGAGAGTTAATGTGTCTATGCCATCGTCATCGATTGTGCGACATTTCAATCAATAACTCCAACAATTGATTATGACAGTTGTAAAGACCTCAATAAGACAGTTTACACTTGTTCATACAACTCACTTAAAGTGAGTGATTTTATGACTGATATTATGTCTTGGTTTGAATATCCTTGTCATCCATTCAACTTAATCCTTCACCATCGAACACTGGTCATTGATGTAGATGGTGGTTCGGCATACGGTTGACATGTCCTAATCCCTTCAATCAACGGAATATCTATCATCTCACTGACTGATTCTCCATCTTCACCTATTATTCTGCATTTAACTTCATCGTTGCTCTTTCAGCGTTTTCCAAAGTCATATTTCACAAGTATAAAGTAAAATATTTGATTAGTAAAACTGAGAACAAAGTATTTCATTCGATTGAATATGTTCAGGATCTAGTCAATGTACTCTGACAACGATTACTTTATTAAGAACATAGTACTTTTATAACATGTGATTTTTGAAAATTGTCCAATCTAGATTTTGAATATATACATTTTCTTAATAATTTTCATCGTAGATCGATAACATCCAGTCTAACTGTTGTAAATTTATAAACAGTGCACACTAATTGCCGAAAAACGAAATTTTATATTTCGATTTCATAATGACTTACATTGTTAAGGTTCACTAGACTGGACGATATAGTACGACCAAAATTATCAGATTCATCGACGATAATTATTTTACACACTAGGTATGCTTCATTACTACTCACCATGGGAAAACCATATGAATATTACACATTAATGACAATCTAATATAGCTTTAAAAAGAGACCAGATAAAAGAAAGTACTCATGTTTCATTGATTACTTTATGTGGATTTACAAAATTATACCAAAATTATTGTTAAAGAATTTTGTGGAAATAGTTGAATTTTGGAAGTTTACATAAAACATCGATCTTAGACAAACATAGAAAACCAAAAAGCTCTAAACAGATATTTTGCCGTAGTATGAAACTTTTCACTGGTGATCATGTCCAAGATCTTTAGGTATGGAGACGACCGCTGAGAGCATGATTTTTCACTGACACAACTATTTATGATCTAACCTTTTCTATTCTAAACGTAAAATTAGATAAACATATGAAATATTATTATGCCTCATACGGAACATATTGTCATCTGACAACGGACTTCTATTGATCTCCAAAGCACTTTTGGCAAAATGTTTGTCTGACTAATACATTCATATGTCACTGGGTTTTGAAAATAGACAATGGATATAATACATGTATTACATAGACATTTCAGTCATCTTTGTTTTCCAAATGGTTGCTTTTTTGTATCAGTTGACCTTGTAATAGAAACACACAAATTGATCATAAATCCACCATACCAGCAATTCTATCCATTTCACTTCCCCCCTAATTTATCAATACTATGATAATTTATATTCTCTAATATTGAACTGGAATTTATCACGAGGGCTTGCTCCATAAAAATATAGTAATAAATAAACTGATCACAGATTTTGCATGAGTCATCTCACATAGTGAATAGGTCAACAAGACAATAAATGTGAAACTGATTCCCTGTTTTTATGATCTATTGCAATGAAGCTTTTTATTTCATGCCCTGATAAAAAAAAGCAGACAGTTTAAGAACAAGGGTATGACTAAAAGGTCAAAATGAACAAAGCGAATAAGTTGGAGAGTGAATGGGTAGATGGTGGGATGGATATGTATCTGGCTGTATCTACGTTATATGCACACAATATGTTGTGTAAAACAAAAACTCGTTCAAATCTCAGAATTTAAAATTAAAATTGCTTTTAGTCAATGCCTCAAAAACATTGATGAAACAAAATGTGTATCATAGATTCTTAATTGGTTGTAAAAAATGAAGAGTGAATCCACACAATTCCATAAAGCTCTCTAAAAACATCATACATTT